TAGCTACTTGGGAGGCTGAGATGGGCGGATCGGCCAGACTGGGTGAATAGTTCCCAAGACCCCATCTCCAAAATAACTAGAGCAAAATGGACTGGGGTTATGGCTCAAGTAGTACAGCACCTGCTTTGCAAGCTCAAAACCCTGAGCTCCAATCCCACAAAAAAAAAAAAAAAAAAGTTTAAGATCATAAAAGTGTAAGACTGACACAAGAACAAATATACAAATATACAGAGTAACTGTTGCCTCTTGAGTATTAAGTGCAGCAATTAACTTTTAGGCATTTTCTTTGACCAGAAAATAAAATGACTATGCTTGTCTAATATCTCAGTTTTCATTAATAACCTAAGTATTAATTACTAAAAATGATTAAATAAAAGCCAGGTATGGTGGTGCACCTGTGACCCCAGCACTCAGAAAGCAGAGGGAGAAGCATGGCGAGTTTGAGGTTAGCAAAACTGACTCAATAAATAAATATATAAGTTAATTAGGGATGTTTAGAAATACAATTTTCATGTAATTTAAAGTCTTGTATATAAAGTAAGAGATACTCATAAAACATCTGAGTTTTTTTCTAAGTTAAAAACTGAAATATCAATTACCAAATATAAATATAAAACTTACTCTTGGTTTTTTTCTTTTTCTTTCTTCTTGCGGTACTAGGGCTTGAACTCAGGACCTATGCCTTGAGCCACTCCGCCAGCCCTATTTTTGTGAAGGGTTTTTCGAGATAGGGTCTCAGGTACTACTTGCCCAGGGTGGCTTTGAACCACAATCCTCCTGATCTCTGCCTCCTGAGTAGCTAGGACTACAGGCGTGAGCACACAGCTCACTCTTGGTTACTTAAATTCCATAGGAAAGACAAAATATATGTGTGCATTAATATGTCCTATTCCACATTAAAATTTTTTCTAGGCCAAAGCATGTTTCCAGAAATTGTAAAACATGTTGATAAACTGTTGGTCTATGATGAGCAGTTCAAGACTGTGTTCTTCACTAGGAATTAAGGTTACTAAGAGTTAAAAATCCTAATTCCTACAGGTAATTCTATGAGCAAAGACCATAAGAAGAAAATTAAGATGCACTTTTCATGGGGAAAACTATAAGAAAGACATAAAATATATCCTTATGAAGATGTATTTTTGGTAAGGAAAGCTTAAACAAGAGAATTTTGTTTTTATGAGAAAGAATTTTGTGTGGTAGAATAAGATTTTTGTCCTTAAAAAAAAAAAAAAGACTGGTTTGTTCTAAAAATGAAAGAAAATATATAAGGCAAAACTGCAGGGTTGAGTAGGTGGCACAGGGACCGAGCAAGTCACAGAATGTGTGTGAGGATGGACTTATGAGAGAAAATTTGTGTGAGGTCAAGTTGCTATAAGTAGAAGAAAACTGCTTATATTTTGTTAAATGAGCATTAACAAACTGACATAAAACCAGAATATAGTAATTCTGTGTTTAAAGCAATAAGGTTTTCCTGAAGTATTTATCTACTCTTAGTTAAAATTTACAAGGTTTTGATTTTTAGTTCTGCAAATCTGCTTTTCTAATTCTCCCGTCTTCTGCACGGCTGTTTCCATTCAGCTGGGGCCTCTCCATGGGTTCCAGTCAGCTCCTGAAAGCTGTCCCTCCCCAGTTCTGACTCTGCTATGTGGCCCAGGACAGTGGCTTTCCGTACCACATCTGAATTGTTCCGTGTAACCACCACTTTTTCTGCTTTTACATTTTGCAGAGTCACGCGCCCCCACTCCAGGCACTATCCTCCTCTACAACATTCTGTGCTATGATGCACGCGCGACACCTTGGTCACACTCGCATCCCGTCAAATCCAAGTGCCTTTCAAGTGCCTCCCTCAAAGAGACACAGCCACAATGTAGGAGTTTTCCTTATCTTTTGGTAACTGGCACAGAAAACGGAGATTTTGTGTGTTATCTAAGTAATTTCTTGTGTTTTCTACTGTCTTTACTAGGTTTTGATTACTTAAGAAAACAGAGCCCTAAAAAAGTTAAGCTTCTTTTTTATTTTTTCATCTATTTGCTTTTATTCTATTTGCTTTTAAAGTCTCTTAATCATGTTATATACAAATAATGTGATCGCTTTATAACTCTGTTAAATCACTCTGGTTAAATGATTGACTATTATTTCACAGTGATCTATGATACTATTTTGACATTGTTGGCGTGTTTCCTCAGGATCAAAGTTCTTTTTGACTTTGGGACTTTCCAGCTGGGTCCCTGGACATCCTTGAACGACTCCCTCCTCACGCCTTGGCAGAGAGGAGGAGCCAACTGGGCTTTGGATTATGTTGGATGATATGGGAAGCATTGCCAAACATAAAATGAAACTAAATCTTCTTCAGGTTATATTAGCATGTATATATTATCCCAAACATCATATGAATTTTATGGATGTCTGATGGTTCTGGCATGATTCTTTCAGTCTTGTCTGTTATCTTAGGAGGCTATGTACAATAAAAATAACTGCATTTCCTTGTCAATTGTTAGACTCACACTGAAATCCTGTCTTTTGACAGCCACAGTTTAGATCCTTCTCTAAAAGCATTTACCATGGGATTCAGATTCATGGAAAAACTGTAGCATGTACTTTTTTCTTTTTCCTTTGCAGTACTGGAAATTGAACCCAGGGCATTTACCACTTGCACCACATCCCCAGCCTAAATAGCATGCACTTTTGAAAACAAGTTGCTGGTAACTTCAAGACCCATGGACGAACTAGACAGAATTTCCAGAGCTCTAGTGACTAAGATAAAGCAGAGCAGAGACTGGGTACATGAGACCAGATGAGCTGATAAAATCCATGGGGCTTTATGTCACTTGCTTGAAGCACTGATGGTTTTTTGTTTAAATGTTTTTCTTTCCTACATTTAAGGAAATTTCTTCTAAGCTGCCTGTAGTCTTTAGCAATTTGACAAAATACACTTTTGTGAACAAAGGTAAGCATTTACTTTCTTCTCCCTACTTGATTCCTCCCAAATTAAAAAAGTATTCATATTTTTATGGCCATATGATAATTTTGCAGTAAGACTTTGTTCTCTTTATAACAGAATACAATGGGCGGCACTGACATATCTGAAAACATTCACGGAATGCCTGGTGATAGGGTCCCCAGCCTTACTGTGAGTGAATAAAACTGTCACCTCCTGGCAGGCCCTGGAACCTCCGGGTATGAGGTGCCACAGGTGGAACTCTGTGTCTGCCTTGGTTTGCTTTCCAGCCTCAAGAGGTTTCTAAATGAGACTATAATGCAGTATGCCATTTTTCTTGCCACTTATGTAAGGCACACCAACACTAAATTCATTTTGCAAACAAATTTTAGAAAAACTGCAATACATTTGTTACCAGATTCTAGCTCTCTGCTCATGGCTTTTAAGGTTTTTACTATCCTTCTGTAGACTGGACTGGATCCCAAATTCTAGGTTCCTCTGATCCCATTTTCTTCCACAGAAAATTAAGACTGGGGACTGCTCATTCCTAAAGCCCTAAGAGCAAGCTGGACAACCTGGGGTAACTGAGGGACAAGCCTCGTACCTGATGTGTAGGCCCCACGGAAAGTTCACTAAGAGACAGAAGAACCACAACCACAGTGATAAATTGATGTTCTTGTTAGTTTTATATTTCCCTGTTTAAAGCTTTTACTGTTACCTACTAAATTTCTGTAGGAGTACAGCTCCTAACAAAATAGGAGGCCCATTGCTGTGAAGGTGATGGCCACTGCCCACTGACAGAACTGAACTTTCTGTGTTACACAAAATTGTTAGACTAACTCACTGAGCCTTTACCAACACTTGCCTTCTACCCACCAGACTCTGTGCCCAACTCTCTGCTGGAGGCACATGACACAGCCAAGGCAGGGAGTCAGGATGCATGCAAGGCAGGGCAGGGAAGGGTGGTCTCACTGACTGGAAGAGACAGGGGCTGGAGTCCAGGAGGCTGAGGCAGCTGGAATCTGCAGGTCAGAGACCAAAAGAAGGATCCACACAGAGCTCTAGAAATGTTGGCGGAAGCTCTCAATCTTTGACTGAATGGAGGCAGCACACTTGTGTAGGGCAAGACCATAAGGTCAAGACAAGAGCAACTCTTGGGAAAAAGGACTGGAGCTCATGTGGCACTCCAACCAGCCAGAGCAGACAAAGCAGGCTGAACACACAGGACATCCAGCAGAGGCTTCAGCTAATCCTATGTTAGTAGTGAGGCTAACGGATCCCTGAGTAATGGTTATTCTCACCTACCCCATCAGAACTTCAAAAGAAGCCTGGAACAGATCAAGATTAGCTGCACACTGATTGTCTGCCAAACCAAAGCTCAACTCCTTAAAGAAAAACACAATCCAGCCATTAAAAAATGTACAAACTGACACCATCCAGCAGCAGGAAAATGTGACCATAACCAGAAAAAAATTAGCCCCTTAGAAACAGACCCCGAAATGACAGAGACAATGGAATTAGAACAGACTTTAAAACAATCATTATGAATATGTTCAAGGATTTAAAGGGAAGATGGAGAAAATTAGCTAGGTGAGTTTAGCAGACTAGACTCTGTGGAAGAACAAACACAGGAACAATCCAAATTGTAGTACAAGAAAAAAAGCCGAAAAAAGCAAGAACAGAGCCTCAGAGGCCTAAGAGACAACATCAACAATCCCGAGACACAGGAAGAAGTATTTCAAGAAATGACAGCTAGCTTTCTCCAGACTTGATGAAAAATTATCAATCCACCAATCAAGAGAGTTCAACACCCTCTAAGCAGATAAACACAAAGAAAGTCACAGCACAATACTTAACAATACAGAGGAAACCATGAGAGCAATGATTTGTCCCACACGAGGAATGACGTCCTCCAGAACCACGTGAGCAAAGGTGGTGGGACACGCTGTGGAAAGGCTATCAGAGCAAAGAAAGCTGGCAGAGCACCAGCACCTAAGGGTGACTTTGCAAAACTTGACTTTCTTCAATATTTTGAAAACGTCAAAATTTATCTGTTACTTACCAATAGAAAATTTAGGAACTTTAAATGGATTTGTAGGGGTCAGCACAGCCTTCGTTTTGGACTTTAGACAGGAGTCTTGCCTTCTTATGCTTCTGGTTTTATTCAGTTGAGAAGATGCTGACAAAGTAGAGTCAGGGTCCTGCCTTGGGCCTCCACAATCTGGAGTCTGGGGCTGGGTGACAGGAGCCATGGTGGGCACCTTGGGCTGCTCTGCTGTGGTCAATGGGGCAGCATCAGCCTTCCTGGCTTGCCTGCAGGATACCCCTGCAGGGGCTGTTGGCAGGGAATGGCGCAGCATGGCAGGTCCTGCTCTGCCCAACTTGCTAGTGTCTGACAGAGGCCGGGAGCCGCTGGCAGGAATGCTGGCAAGTTCGCTTGACTTGGCTGCAAGAGTAGACACATGAAGGCTAGGTATCACTCAAGCTTACACTATTTCTAAACCATGACCTTTAATATGTATACGATATATGCTACCTTTGGTACATGTACCTAACATCTGACATAGGAACCATGCCTGGATGCCCATAAGGCAATCATCAAATGCTGAACAAAAGGCTGCCTGCAGCTTAGCTGAGAGTCTTCCAATTCTCTTCAGTTACCAAAACATATGTGAGCATCCCCAAAGTCAAACTCTCCTATCTTCATTATGTTGGCAGCAGAACTCTATCCTTGCTGAGAAGAAGTGGAGAGTCCAGTCACAAATCCCCTACTGCACAGTGGACAGGGGGATCCCTTTAAATTATGAAAGGGCCAGCATGGTGACACACACCTCCCAGCTAGGTGGGAGGCAGAGACAGGAAGATTGTGGTTTGAGGCTGGTCCCAGGCAAAAGTGCAAGACCCTATCTGAAAAATAAATTAAATAAAAAAAAATAAATTAAAGCAAAAAGGACTAGGGCATGGCTCAAGAGCATAAGGCCCTAAGCTCAACCCCTAGTACCACCAAAAAAATAAATAAATGAATAGGTAATAATAAGATCATACTAATCCTAGGCACTATTGACAGTAGCTGAACTACAGCAATAAGTAATACTCAGCTACCAACACACCCAGTATGTACAAGTCAATCTGGTAAAAGATTTTTAAAGAAAAACTTAAGCGGATAATCAACAGGATGGCTTATAAACACAGTGCATAACAGTCGTACAAGGGTCCTCCCTGCCCACGATCTCATCTGACCCTAGTGATTCTGCTACACGCAGAGAGGAACATGCACACACCAGAAGCCTCATTCAGTGTGGCTCCACAGAAATACCACACAGAAGTGTGCAGGTGTCTGCGTCAGGGAAGCAAGACACACCTCACAACACAGCAGTCAAGTGCTTCTCTCCTCAACAGGTCACATGCCACAGAACGGCTGGGCATGTGGCAGAGTGCTTTCAGGGCCCACAGGAACCACGAAAGGTCGATGTTGTCACTACTACTCCACATCAGTCTGATTCTGGAGTTCATATTTTTTGCATCTTGTGAACCAAACCCTCACCATGCTGTACTGGACAAAGCCAGCATCTACACAGCAAATGTAACTTGAAGAGGATTTAGTTCTCTTTAAGAGCAGGAAAACAGGTGTCTTTCCCAGTAGTCTATAAGTGTTTCTCTCTTTACCAGTAGATGGCAGCCTTGGCTAGGCAAGATGAACCCAGGGCCCAGATTTCAACAGGTATATTACTAGAGCCCAAATACATCCAGGATTAACAGGGGCCACATGCCCCCAAATGATCTGGACTGTCCTGACTTAGCACATGTGCCTGATGACATGAAGTCAGGCTCACGTAAATGTCCTTCTGTGTCTTAGTGCTTTGCAACTGTATCCCTAACTGAAGCTACCGTCCCACTGGAGGGAAGCACCCAAGGGTAGGGATGGTGACAATGTCTTCCCTGCCTACCATCCAGCCCAGCCCACAGCTCAGAGCATGTCCTCCACCATGTACTGCAGACTAGGAGGCTCTGTAAAGTCTCAGTGGAACAGATATCATTCAGGCTTCGCCTGGCTAGTGTTGAGTCTGAGCATGAGATGCTGGCTGCTCACCTCTGCCTGCTGCTGGAGACACACCCACACTGGATGTCAGGCTCAAAACAGACCCTGAGGAAGAGGATTTCTTCATGAGACTGCCAGTGCAGCCAGGTGGTTTTAACAGGGTCTTCTTCAGTCCCAACTGAGAACAAATGGTAAAAAACACAATCAGTGAAGATTTCATATCCCTACTCATGCTTACTTCTGGGTTTTAGAATAACTTTCAATAATTTCATAACTATATCTTGAATTCACAGAAAGTTAAGCAATATTGTAGTTATCCCTCTGTATCTATGGGGACTGTTTCCAGGACCCCTCTGAGCACTGAAGTCCGAGGATCCTCGAGTCCCTTACATGAGATGGTACAGTGTTTGTGTGCAACCTACACAGGCCCTCGCATCTACTTTAAATCATCTCTAGCTAACTTATAATGCCCAGTGCAATGTAAATTCTATGTAAAAGTTGTTACACACACAGTTTAGGCAATAATGATGAGAAAAAAGTCTATACAAGCTCAATACAGTTCAGAATATTTTCAATATGTGACAGGTTGAATCCACAGACACAGAACAGGTAGATATAGAGGGCTGACTATACTTCTCCAACTGTAGTCTTCAAACATCTGCTTAGGGAACACATGAGGGAACTGGGTGAAATGTAGATTTGTGGGCCCAACTCAGACTCTGAATCAGTTGTGGTAGGCCCAGGTTTTGGCAGCTTTAGCAGGGATTGTCAAAGAGTTCTTAGAACTTTCCTGCCTTGATATTAATCAAAAGACACAGCTTATATATACAAAGCTGCCTCCATGTTCCCATTGATGGTGAGTCACAGCCCCTATGGACCCTGCCAACTCACCTTGTTGGGAATGGGGAGCGATCGCTTGCCTTGAACTGGGTGCTGGTTTCTGCTGCCTGGCAAGCTGGCAGTATCCAGAGCAGTGCTGGGTTTGTCCAAGAGCACATCCCCATGGGATTCAGTCTCATTTAGGAGTTTCATTCTGGAAGGACTAGGTGGTACTTCTTTCTTTGGCTGAAAAATGTTAATTTAAAATATGAGAACTATCTAGTCTCTAACAAGGCTTAATTCAGAGCAAGTCCAGGCTCAGCTTCTCCCAAGCTCCTCAATTAATCTGCAAGTGAGAGGGAGCACTGCAGTACAAATCCTCCATCAAAGGACCATGCACAAAAATGATGAAGGGCTTTGCCTCCTAATTATCAGTATAAAACAGTGCCAGAGCAGAGGGCTCACAGGAGTCAGCTAAAGCTCCTGCTTAGTGAGTACCTTACTCACAGATGGCAATGAGGAAAACAGGTTCTAGCTACATATGCTCCAAAGTGTGGCATATTCATTCTATGCTCTCCCTCTACCAGAGAAGCTGCTTGGCTACAGAAGTCTGCCTGGTTTAGTGCTGAATGCCACTTTCTCCAGGCAACAGTCAAACAAAGAGCAAGTTCCTGACATACTTAGGGACAAGGGCATTCATGGAGATGTTCCATGCTCACATGGGGGCTGACAAGGTAAGACCTGTAAAAGTTCACACAGTTGTAAGGATATAGCAGTAATGCTTTTCCTTTACAGCATTTTTATAATTGAGATAGACTTCATGTAACAGAAATACAACATTTTAGGCTGGAGGCATGGCTCAAGTGGTTGAGTACAAGCCTCGCAAGACTGAGGCCCTGAGTTCAAACTCCAGTATCGTATACACACAGACACACACACACACACACAATCACCATTTTAAAGTGCTCAGTGGTTTTTAGTGTATTTGTTTTGCTGTATGCTTTGCTGTACAACAATTGTCACAAAATAATTTTAGAACATTTTCCCCTTAAAAGAAATTTATACTTAACAGCAGTCACGTCCCATTCTCTCAACCTCCCCAGCCCAGAACAACCACTCCATCACTTGCTGTCCACAACCAGCCTACTGTGGCCATTTCATAAAATGGAATCACAGTGCCTGACCTTTTGCGTCCGGCTTCTTTCACTGGGCATGTCTTCAAAGGTCACCCGTGTAACAGTATGTATTGCTACTGCAATTCTCTACTACCACAACCATATTCCATTAATTGGATATACTGTATTTTATTTATCCGTCATCAACTGATGGACATCTGGGTTGGCTCAATTTTTTGGCAATTTTGAATAACACTGTTGTGAACATTTTTGCTGAGGCTGGCACTGTGATGCCCAAGCCCACCCGGGGCCGGCTCCTCTACTACTCTCTTCACTCTCCCACTCCTGAACTCTGGGGCCTCAGAGCACATGCGCCCTCAGCACTCTCCCCACATGACAGGGCATGTACTGAAAGGTGGAGAAGCAAGGAGGGTGTGGGTTCCTAGGAACTGTTCTGCTATGTGGTTTTGCCTACCTTCTCCATGGCCAGTTTTCCTCTCAGAGATGAAACTCGTGGCAGCTGCAACTTGCTGGTGATCCTCTTCTGGGCACAGCTTGATTCAGAGGGTGGGCAAGACTTGGCTTCCCTGGCAAAGGGTAAGACAAGTGTGGTGGCCCCTGTGCTAGGGCAGTGTTAGGCAGGGCAGGCCCAGCCAAGGTAGGGGTGCTGGGCAGGGCTGGGGAAAAGGTCAGGGACAGGAGCTCCTCTGAGGAAGGCTGGACCCCTGAAAGCGGTGGCCCCATCAAGGGGCTATCTGACAGGAAGTATGTCTCTCTTTTAAGTGACTTGGGGCTCTTCTCCACTGCCTGTTCTTTTTCAAAGAGGTTCATTTTTAACTTTGATTCCTGGACAAATTTTTCCATGCCCTGGTTGCAAGGGCTTTCGGGTTTGTCGGCCTTGGCAGCCTGGACTACCTCTTTTCTGCCGCGGCTTTCTATCTGTAAAGCTAGTAAGTGAGCTTCTTTATACACCTCCACGAACTTCTCCCCAGTGAGAGGGCTCCAGGAGCAGGGACTGGCAGCTGCTGACAGAAGAGGCTGCTCAGGAATCCGATTATTTAATTCTATGTTGGCAGCAATGCATCTTTCTTTATGCCCCACAGGTCCAAAAAAGACTTCATCATCTTCATTTGCACTATTTTTAATGAAAAGAATTATTAGTGGTTAACAACACTGGCATTCAAATGAAAGACGAAGTGGCTATGCCCAGGGCAAGGGAAGAAAATTCATTTACCTTGAAGAAGACAATGAGAGATCAAAGTCAAATTTTTCATCTGCCAAAAGACAAAGGTCTGGGAGAAAAAAAGTTCACTGTTATTTTTGGTGAAACTGAGGAAGATACTACCTATAGCTGTAAGTATCAGAGCTATTATGAAATTTTACACTTAAAAGTATGTTACTTGTATTTTCATAGGGAGCACTAAGTCATCTTTTTTTTCCCATTTTCGTTTTAAATTGCACCAGCCATTCTGAGTTTGCTAACCCACTCCGAAAGCACAAAGCCTCATTTCTGTGAAATAAACTAAAATACACTCATGAAGTCATTTCGCTTGCTTTTCAAGAAGAGCTAAGGCATCTTTAGGTTTAGAAATTTTTCAAAAGATTACCTGCTTCAGCTCCCCTGGGATTAAGTTCCCCTTTTACAAGTTACAAGACACCTAGTCATCCTTCAACAGTGAATTCAAGTCTTATTCGAACACAGAATGGAGACTAGTAAGTACCCATTGACCCCTTCCCCAACGCTCCCTGGAGTCCTTCCTGAATCCCCAGGTAACACTGCACTCAGTACCCCATCCCAGCCAGATGCCCATCAAAGCCTTCACTGCCCTGCTTATTTGCACAACTCCCTCTCACAGATCACAGGCTAGCAATCCCTTTACTGCTCCTCCCTTCAGCCCCCTCTCAAGAGCTCCTGACCTCCACCACTGCACTGGCCCAGGCACTCCTTTGTAAGTGCCTCTGGACTCTGTGGCCCAACAAATGTCCAGCTGAGGGTCCATACCCTTAGCAAATAGTTATTGAAATGCACTGAACTGGCATTTCAACACCACAAAGTTCAGACAGAACTTTTACAAATCATATCTTCTTTCATCTTTTTTTATTTTGGGGGTGGTGTTTTAGAGTTTTGACTCAGGGCTTTCATGTTTGCTAGGCAGTCGTCCTACTGCTTAAGCCACACCTCTAGCCCTTTGTGCTGTGCTAGGGACACACACAGAGATAGAGTCTGCTATTTCTGTTCAGACCAGCCTGGACCATGATCCTCCTATTTTGTGCTTCCCAGTTACTGGAAAACACCGCTAGATCCAGCTTTTTTCCATCGATGGGATGTCACAAATTTTTTTGTCCAGGCTAGCCTAGAACCACAATCCTCCCAGTCCTAGCCTCTCACATAGCTTGAGATGACAGGAACATGCCAACGAGCCCAGCTCTTGGTTGAGATGGGATGTTGCAAACTTTTTGCTGGGACTGGACTTGAACCACAATCCCCCTGATCTCAGCCTCCCAAGAAGCTAAGACTATAGATGTGAGCAACCAGCAACCTGGCTTGTCTTCTTTGGTTTTAATAAGCAACATAGCATGCTTATTAAAACCTCAAAATTTGAAAATATAAAGCCAGGCGTGGAAAATATTCTCAACCTATCTCACAAAGGGCTAATTTATGATGACTGCTGATGAGTGCCTACAAATAACTAAGAAAAGAATAGCAACTTAATGGAAAACAGAAAGGAAATGAACAGAAAAAATTCACAGACAGTAAGACAAAATGTTTTAAATATATATAATAGAAGTTCAGCCTCACTCAAAAGGAAGAACAATGAAAAACAAACTTACCCACAAAAATCAAAGAGTTTGATAAATAGTAAGCAAAGCTGTGGGCAAGAGGTAATTCCTACATAGCTGGAAGAGGCAAAGGTCATTAGCTCTGTGGAAGGTCACCCAGCAGTATCCATACCCATAAGAGTACAGAGCCCTTCAGCCCAGCAAGCCTACTTCTAATAAATGTATCCTACAGTCACAGATGTACAATTGAGGGGTACACACAGCTAGTGCAGCATTATGTATAACAGCAAACACTAAGCACAACTAAATTTTCACCCACAATAGATGAAATAAATTACAGTCCATTCCCATGATGGAACACTACATAGGTACGATAAAGGATAACAAAGTTAGCTGGCATATGGTGGCACTCTTGTAATGTCAGCATGCCTGTAATCCCTGGGTAAGGCAGGAGGATTGAGAATTCGATCCCAGCCTCAGCTTCATAGTGAAACAAGCTGGGTGCAGTGGACAAGCCTTTAATCCAAGCTACTTTGAGGCTGAGATTGGGAGGATCAAAGTTCCAGGTTAGCTCAGGCAAAAAAGTTCACAAGACCCCCATCTCAACAGAAAAGGCTGGGTGAAGTGATGCACACTTGTCATCCCAGCTATGATGGGAGGCATAAAATAGAAGAATCTTGGTCCAGGCCAAACTGGGCAAAAAGGGAAATCCTATCTCAAAAACAACCAATGTAACAATGTAGCTCAAGTGGTAGAGCACCCACTTAGCAAGGAGGAAGCCCTGAATTCAACACCTAATACCTCCAAAATAAATAAATAACGCTTATTTTTTATTGACGCACAATCATCGAGGTAAATTCAGTATAACAAACAAACGAGATGTATGGCAGGACTCCCTTGCTGTATGAGAAGAGGAAGCAACCAACATTGTTACATACTGGCTGGCATTTGCACAAACCATGCCTAGAAGGGCATCCAAGACATGGATGACACGAGCCCTAGAGGGGGCAACTAGGAGGCTGAAGGACAAAGACAAGAGGAAGATCCTTCACTTTTTACAATCTGAATCTTGCAAGGCAATTTTATAGATCACTTCCAACTGTCTGTGTAGAAAAAAGAACCACAGACCAGGAATCAGAAAGCAGTCTTCTGCTCTAGGCTCTGTGACTGGCTAACTCCATCATTCTGCAAACACCTGAGCACCTACAATAGGCCAAGGCCTCTACTAGGTGCCAGGTACATTTGAGGTACATGGCTTCTGCCTTGGGGGTGCAGCAGATAAGGGTGCTAGGAGGGTAAAGAGGAGTTGGGAACACCTTTACCCAAGGGTGTTTGAGAAACTGGTCAGTAAGCAGAATGGCTGGAGTGAAGCAGGAAAAGTGGAAATGTAGGTAGGGTCAGATCTCACAATGCTTGCCAGCTGTGGCAAACAGCTTTTATATTATCCAAAGTGCAAGGAAGTCACTAAAGAGCTTTAAGCAGAAGACTGTCATAATTTAACTCATGCTTTTAAAAGGTGATCCTGGCTGCTGTGCCGGAAAGGAAGCAGCAATAGCTTTTGAAATTACGAGTGCATACACTGGCCAAAGTGAGTAGCATACAAGAAGGTACAGGTGAGGTAAGGTGGTTGAGACCAGGGTGGTGGCACTGGATGGAGTTGGAAAAAAAGGGACAGATCCCAAATACTCTGAGGGCAAAATGGCAGCAACTAGTGATTCAATGCAGGTGAGGGTTCTCAGCTTGGGCAGCTGGTGAACAGAGGGGTCATTCATTTACTTTGATGAAAAGACAAACAAGAATAGGTTAACAATGGGGGGAGGAAACAGGGGATGCTGAGTTTGAGGGGAGAGACATTCATGTGAAAATGCTAAAACAGGCAGGTGAACACACAAGTCCAGAGGTCAGGGGAGAGGCTCTGCACAAAGCAAAATATGGATGTCTCCAGAAAGCAGACAGGTGGAAAGCCAAAATAATGCTGACAGCCCCCAAGGAGAAAGTACAAAGAGATCCCAGACCACATCCTGTGAAGATCAGCTTCTGATGCTGGTAGAGGAGGTATAACCTGCAAAGAGATGCAGGTGTACCAGCCAAACCGATGAGGAAAAGAAGCAGCATCATGGAAGTTTCTGGGAGAGAAAGCAGAGTGTTATTGGGAAGCCGAATGACTGAACAAAGATGAATAGTGACAAGGGATTTGGCAACATGGAAGTTGTCAGGGTCTGATGAAGGCAGCTTGAATGGAGTGGTGAGATGAAAAGCAGAAATAGCAGGGGTTAAGGTGAAACAAAAGCAAAACAAACTGAGATAGCTTGAAGTCTGGCTCTGAAGGAGGAACACGCAATGCAGAGGCAGCAGGGAAGACACAGAAACAAGGGAAATCCAAGAACACGCCGCTGTGTCAACGCTGAGTGTAATCTAAATGGAGTGCCTGCCTAGCAAGTACAAGACCCTGAGTTCAAACCCTAGTACTGCCAAAAGAAAAAAAAAAAATCTTAGAAATGACTTAAAGTGTATGGGAGGGTGTTCAAAGGTTATACGCAAATACTGTATTATTTTACATAAGATCCCAGGGTCTTTGGATTTTGCCATTCATGTGGGGGTGGGGTGTTAGTCCTGGAACCAATCCCATAGGCTACTGAGGGACAACTGTAACTCATCTGTGAGCCTGTACACTTATGTTAACAACCAAACCAAACAAGGGCACAAGAAGAAAAGTTAACGGGCCAGGCACACTTACTAACAGCATCTCAAAGACCCTGAACAAGTCTTAGCCAACAGAAACCAGCAACAAAAAAAGAAAAGAAAAAAAGCATCACATTCAATTCAACGTGTGTTTCCACCAAATGTCAGGTACTGCTGGGGCGCTGGAGACACTGAACTGAGTAAAACTGTTAAGAATCCTTGCTGCATGGAACTCAAAGAGTGTGTGTGTGTGTGTGTGTGTGTGTGTAAGAAACCCAAGAATAAAGACACATAGCGTGTGTTCCTTGGGTACAGAGCAAGAGCACAAGATAAACGCTAAGAGACAAATGAATAAAACCTCACAGAACTATTAAATCAATCTCCATCTGGGATGTGGTCTCCCAACTTCCTCGCGGCAGTAGCAATGACTCACCTTCCTTAGCAGCACCCATCTTCGCTGCTCGCGCCTGGCCGGCTGAGGCCACGTCGCCTTGTCCCTCCATGGTGCGGGCTGCCAGGAGGTCGCTGCAGGGACGAAGGGGGCCACAAGGTAAGCAGGGGTCACAGCCAAGGCCCCGGATTGCTTCGATTTAGCTCGGCAGCGGGAGTTGCGGCAGCACACCGAGGCCAGAGGGCCAAAGGCCGCGGCCGGGTAGAGTCAAGGAAAGGCGGCGCCAAGGCCACCCAGAAAGGATCTTGTGTCCCGGGGCTCCCCCAGGAACCGAGAGCCCAGCCGGGATAACGCAACTCCCAGCAGCTCTCAGAGCTGTGCCTGGCTCGCCCTCGGTAGCCACGTCCTCCCCGTCCCCGCCCGAGGCGCGAGAGCCCCGACTCCAGCCCAGGCCTGGCTCCCCACAGCGCACGGTCCTCCCCACCCCAGAACGGCGGGTGCCGTTCCTGCCCGCCTCGCCCCTACCCAGAACCCTCCCCACTCACCCGGTCAGCGAAGACTCAGGCCGTGCCTCCGCCAAGGGTTTAAACTCGGCGCTGGGCGGCGCGGGACGCCGATTGGTCAGTTTGAATAGGGAACGCTGGGCCCAGTGCACCCTGGGCATTGTAGTCAGATCACCCGGAAGAGAGGCAAGTGCGCACGCGCACTACTTCCACGCAACGGATTGGCTCCGCTCGGCGCCGGACGCACCCACCCGGAAGTCGTCCGCCTTGAGGCCCCACCCCCGCAGACCGTGAGCTCTGGTAGGACAGCCGTCATCTCCCTAGCCTTGCGCCCCGGGTGGGATAGTGAGGACTGTGTGGCGGAGTGACCAAGCAGCTTTGAAGAAGCTTTGAAGTGCCTAGCACTGCCCCCTTTTCTTGTCCAGGCGCCCCCAATAACTCTTCGCATCCAGGAACTCCACCTGCACCCTCACTTCTTGCCTCCGGCTGCACTCTGATGTGCTGAGCATCTCTTGACCTTCTTCTCCCACACTGAGCCTCTGCCCTTGGGCTCTCCTCTAAGTTTCATTCCTTCTTTTTCTCAGTATCTTATTTAACTGGAGAAGAGTGATCGGTATAGATGGACCCAGCTACACATCCAAGTCAGGGGACTTTCAGTCTGAAGTAACAGAAAGCTAGCTTCAAGCTGACTTCAGAAAAAGGAAGGGGTGGGGTGTACTAATTGGCTCAGGGAAGTCCAGGGGTGGCCTGAAAGGACCCCTGAGGGGACGCTCAGGAAGTCGTTAGGTTGGGTTGTCTACTGTCCATCTCTTCCAGGACTTGCTCCCCTTAGACAGGCTGGCCCCAGCACAAGAGCTCCAAGCCCCAGCCACATGCCAGGGGTGGTGGCCAGTTCAGTGCCACCTGCACTAGATCCAGGACTTGGATGGATCTTAGTCAACCAGGCCTGGCTGACTTATGAACCATTGTGGTAGGCGTGCCCATGGCCAAAGACCTAGGGGCTCTTGGCCCTACTCTGTCCCTGCCTCTGCAGCGCTGGGGATGTCTACTCGGGGTAGGGTCCCCAACGCCTGTCCTCAGTATCTGTCAGTAACAACTGAGCAATAGTCGGTGCTCAGTAAACAGCACCCATTATTAACAACTTCCCTAACCTGTATCTTCACCCCAATGCTCTCCTCTCTAGGCTTCCTCCTCTTTGACCAGACCCTTGTAGATTCATTCTTCCATTCCCTCAGTAGGATTCTGCTTCATTAAAACATGCATTCATCCACTCACTGACAGCTACTCAGCGCAAGCAGTTGTGTGTGCTGTGTGATACTGGGAAAGCGGATGCTGCCCCTGACCTGATACATCACAGCAGAAAGAAAGGCAGGTGCCAAGGACTGTGGGGCAAAGAGGCAGCATCCTCACCTGTCCACAGTGGGGGTGGGGTGAAAGACTTTCTGGACAGGGCTCCTGCTTCCTTGGCCATGTCTTGCTTGGAGCCAGTTAAAAAGATCTTGAGGAGGCTCCCCCTTGGACATGTCCCCAACTCCTGGGTAGAGACAGCACCTCCCTTGAATTTCTGCGGTAATTAATGTATTTTCTTGACTTGCTGCTCCACCCACCCCAAGTTCAAGGAGAAACTGGTCTCCCCAGGACCCAACCCAGACCTGGCACATAGGAGATACTCAAAGATGCCCACAGGAGTTAGTAGTGAAAGGAAGCAATTAATACATTTTAATCCCAGGAATTTCCCCAGACTTGAGCGCACTACAAGGCCCTAATGGGTTTGGAGATGACACTCCCTTCCAGCAGACCTGCCCACTCCCTACCTAACTTCAGCAGGAAATGAAGGAACTTGAAAAACACCTTTGCACTCAGTCTGACAGCAGCAGGACTGGGACACATCAGGCTGACGAAAGGGAAGCAGAGACAAAGGCAGCATTTATAAATCTGGCTCAAATCATGTTATAGCCACGTGTCAGTGCTTTGGTTTTTAACACAACAGAGCAGCCATGAGTTCAATTCTCACATCCATTCTTATTATTAGAATCAGAGTCGATCAAGGAAGCCATTCCCCAAGACCTCGATCCCATATTCAGTTCTAAAAGAGAAACAAGCTCTACTCAGCACTACCCAGGCCCTGAAGAAGGCTCAAAATGTCTTTTCAAGAGACAGCAGAAGCTGCCTGGAGAGCCATGGGTGCAGCAGGCAGGGCTGAGGCAAAAGGCAGCAAGATGGAGTCCCCTTTTCCCAGACAGGCTTCTGCTTACTGTGACCCCAGGCAAGCCATTTTTCCCCAATGGTGTCCTCCCCTGAGAAATGGGACAACAGGGCCTATATAAAATATAAGGATGACTAAATGAAAGCTTCCCTTTGCCTGGGGGGGGGCAGCCAGGTGTGGGAGGCCACCTGTAGAGCTCCCCATCTGAGTTGGCCCCCCCTCTGCCCTTGAACAACCAGGAAATGGTATCAGTGTGCCTGTAGGAAAACAGTTTGCAGGGCAACTGCAAATAACAGCACCTATATTGGTTCTGAGCACTTAAAATGCACGTTAGCCCTTATAGGAAGGACTGGGAGAAATTTCTGAAATACATTTAAAATTAACTTATGCCCCTGTTTCTATAAAACTGCTGGTCCAGGGGGCTTTCTGCTTAAGTCTGAACTTTACCCTCTTCCCTAACAAGCAGGCCCAGTTGTTTCCTAACCCTAACCCAGTGGGGCAGCTGGTCAAATGCTGGGAAGGTCATGGCTGAGTGCCTTCAGGTCAAGGGCCAGCTCCAGTCACTGCATGAGGTGGACGGTGGCCGCCTTGTGGATGAGCCGCTCTGTCAGGGGCGAGTTGGGCTTTAGGGCATCGCGCTCCATCAGAAGGCTCCTGAGGAAATACACAGAGGTTCTGCTGTGGAATGTTCTAGAAAGATGTGGGGGCACTGCTGGCAGAAGTAGAACCGGGGCATCCAGCTACAGAGCACTGATTCTTCCTCACAGATAAAAACTAGAAACAATGATGTCAAGAAGAAGATTTCAGGGTGGGGACGTCATTGTGACCTTTGCCTGGACGAAACCATGGCTGAGTAACTTAAAGCTCAACCTCCTGCTGAGGACAAGAGGGACAGGTGAGACTGGTCCAGGAAAACTAAACAGCTGAACAGAAGGTGTGGTAGAAACCCCAAGTTTGAAGAAAGCAAGTGTAGGAAAAGTTTGAGGTAGAGACTCTGCTGTGGACTGAATGCTGGTGCCTCTCCTTCCTCAAATTCACATGGTAAAGTGAAGGGATGGGGAGATGTGGCCTTTGAGAGGAGATTAGGTGCTCAGAGTGGTGACATCAGTGGCCTTATAGGAAGTATAAGAATTTGCTGTAAGTTCTCAGAGGAAACAATACTTCCTGTCTCCTGGCCATACACATGCGATCATACAGACACTTGAGTGAACTGTTTCATGGCAGGTCCCTTGCATTAGAGAGGCTTCATACAGCCAGGTCCTGAGTTCACCTGCTCGCTGCAGCCTCCAGCACCCAACACAGCTAGATAAGAGAATGCAGGCTGAGGCCTAAAGGAGCAATGGGTATCCACCAGGTAGAGGGCACAGCGCATGCAAAGGCCCAGGGGCCTGAAAGAGCAGGATGTTTGGCTATCTGTATCTCAGCATGGAATGGGGAGTGGGCTGTGGAGGCACAAGGTTGGGCCTCAGGGTAGAGGCTGGCTGGCTCCCTTGGGTAGAGTCGAGCATACTGACAAAGGAGAACCAAATTCCCTTGCCACCTTGTGCCTTCACAACCTCAAAAACAGTCATCCAGGCTGAGGGATGTGGAAGCCTCAGGCACTCCCTCCACAGGAAGAGCCATGGGCTGTAGACCCTCCCATGCCCAGCAGTGGGATGGGGGGGATGCTCACCGGGCCACGTTCTTATAGATGCTGGATGTGCAGTTTAGGGCTGCATGAATCAGTAACTGGTTGAAGATGTCTCTCTGCAATGTCAGGTGGGCAAGTTCAAGTTAGGTGCCTGCAACATGGATGAGGGACCGGCCCCTAGCCCACCACAGAGGAAGAGCTGCAGACAAGAGCTGCTGCATCCATACTACTCAGTGGCACACTATGGGGAGGGGGAAACTTGGGGTGCTGGGGCCTCAAGCTCAATGGTGGCCTTGCTGTGGGCAGCCAGCTCACCTGGGCGTTGCTGCCCCCAATCTGGACAATGCGGTAGCGGATGGGTAAGAGCAGCTCCAGGACGCGGTCAGGGTTCCCGTCCTCAGCCTCCACCAGGGCCTGGCACAGGGGCAGCCCCACGTCTCGGGCCAGCAGGTGCTGGCAGTTCTCCCCTGGGGACCTGCCACAGAGACAGAGCCTCTGTGACCACCTCCAAGGCATGTGTCCCACCTACCCACAGAACCAGAGGGCCAGACCCCTCTACAGCTACACGGGAGCGCTCTGGTGGGCGAGGGAACAGGAGAAACAGCCCAGTGTGGAGAAAGGACAGGGCTCTGAATTAAGATCTGGGTTGGATGAGGCCAGTAACCAGCCACCTAGCCTGTCCCCCGGCTTCATGTCTCAGTTTGCTTATCTATAAGATAGGTATGACAGTGTAAGCCTCACAGAGGTCAGGATTGCAGACAATGGCCTGACACTAAAGTTGAGCTACAACTACCACTAGGAGGAGATGACTGTCTCAGCCCGTGCCTCCCAGTCCACCCTTGCCATCCCTGGGTGGACACCATCCCCAGCTTGCAGATGAGGAAAAGACTCAGAGCAGAGCAGGGCCTTGCTTCTCAGGGCCTGTAAGCACCAGGGGTCTGGTTCTAGGCCCACTGTGTGGGAAGCTCACACCCACCCTGGGGATGGAGACACTGATTCTACCCTTGGAGGCCACAAACCTGTGAGGCACACACCTGGGGGTGCCCACCTGGGGCAGTCCTCCCTGGACATCCCCCACGCTGCACTCACCAGCAGGGCCTCACCCTCAGGCTCCCCAGCGGGCAGGGCAGCCCTTACACCTTCTCACCTGCCCAATGGCATGGTACCAGCCCACCCCAGGACAGGGCACTGGGGACTCCGCATACTTGCTGGCCTCCTGCAGGCTGGTCAGCAGCTCCTGTGTGGTCTGGGAGTCCCGCGCACCCAGGGAGGCCATCAGGAAGTGTGCGTCATTGAACAGCAGGATGTGGTCCTGGCTGTGTTTCTGGGTCACAGGCAGGACATCCTGCCACCGCTGGCCCACGAACACTCCTGGCGACAAGGAAGGGGGCTCAGTGGGAGACAGGAGCATGACCTGCACTCAGGCCTCTTCCTCCCACATTCCTCAGGAGCCCACAGGATCCTGTTCCATGTGAAAGGCCAAGAAGTGAGCAGGGTTGGTGAGGCTTGTGGCCTCTTGGCTTATGTTACCCTTGCTTAATTACAAAAGCAGTAAACACATAAAATTTAAAAACTGTCAAAGGTTATTAAATAACCTCTGGCCCCTTTGACAAACCCAAAAAGCACTTTTTAAACTCTGCTAGAGGTTACCACAAATGCAGTGCCTGCTACATCAGAGGTGCTCAGTAAGAATCAACTGAATTGATAAATAACAGTCTTCTGCCTGTGTCTGGATTTCTTAACTCTAGACAGCCCCTACCCCTCTCCACCGCCAGCACCCACCTCCCTCTCCCGCCCCCCATTTCCTAAGGGCAGGATTCTTCTTTCTTCTCTCAGGAACCTCCAGCCACAAACTATGCCCTTCATCTTTACTTGTCACCCCGTCACAGTGAGCAGCGATCAAACTGGACATGATTCTCCAGTCTCTGGTTTGTATGGTGAGGAAACAAGAGGCCCTTTGGCTCCCACTTTATCTCTCACTCTCCAGTCTGGATCTCCTTTCCCTTCCTCAGCATCTCGGTACTGAGGCAGCTCACTGAAGAGCTCCAGATGGCTCTCACAGGGAGAGGTTAGCAGGGCTGCAGGGGCCCAGCTTTTCCCCAGGCCCTTGCCTTGCCACCCAGTTCTACACTGAGTGTGGCTGTCTCAGTTTCCCTGTGTCCTTCACCACAGGAGCAATCAATGACCAGGCCTGACATCCCTGGCCTCCTTGCTGTTCAGGGTCTCCAGCAGAGGTCAGCCCCTCACCCTCAGAGGAGTCTCTCTGGAAGACAGAGCCAGACCTGTCCTGTGCTGCTCTGGCAGGCTTCCTCATACCCTGGATAAAAGCCAAACTCCTCACCCTGGCCTTCCCATACACAGGGTATCCCAGCTCCCCCCACCTCTACCTCCTTCTGCCCCTTCTGACCACATCCAGCCTGCCTTCTCAGCATTTGTCCCTACAGGTTGCTGGCTTCTGTGTCCTGGTGGCTTTGGACAAGCTGCTCCCTCTGTGTGTGAAACCTTTTCCCTGTCTCTGCCTGTCAAACCCTACACATCCTTCCATGGTTCACATTTCACTTCCACTAGGAAGCCCTCCTGGAGCCTTCCAAAAACAGCTCACAGTGCCTTTCTGTGGATCCCTGGAGTGCCTTGCCCAAGCCTCCCTTCCCACATGGTGCTGCTGACCCAGGACCTAACCCCAGTCTGCATGCTGAGCCTGGAGGAGAGGGGAGCACCATCTAGCATTCCTGTAGTCAGCAGGAAGCCATTCACAGCCCCACCCAGGCCAGCTGTGAAGGAAGGAGTGACCGGGTTGAGAAACCATTCTGCAATTCGAGAGAGTTGGAACTCTCACCTCCCATGTGCTAAGAAAGGAGGCATTAGCCAGGTGGCCAGGTGCCATCCAGGCTGGCAGGCCATGGGAGTGGAGGTGCCACCCTCGTGCAGAGCCTGAGGCCACTACTCTGAAGGAAGGTGGAGACTAGAAGAAAGGACAGCAGCAGCTGTGTTAGCCACCTTGGGCCAGCTGGGAGACAGCTGCACAGCTGGTACCCAAGGTGGCAGCCAGGTGTGTTCCTGGCAAGGCCTGAAGCTAAGGAGCACTTGTTCTACAGACCAGATGTAACGCTTCTCTTCACTGTGTGGGAGGAGAGGAGTGAGAGGCCCAGGGAAGGGCAGAGACATGGCTACCTTCCATCTGAAGGCGGTAGAGCATGGAGCAGCTGTCCACCACATCCAGCATCATGCCGCTGGCCTGCAGGCTGGGAAGGATCTGGAAAACAAGGGCCGCCCAAGGCTTCACTCAGAAGGCTGAACAGTAAGGGGGCCACAGGGCCGGCTGGAGTTGGCACATCTGGGCTGTGAGTGCGGCCTGCACAGAGCAAGCCCTCAGCAAACAGGAACCACTGCTATCGTCCCTATCACCCCAGCATCAAGACTATCACCCTCACTGAGTGCTGCAGGTGCCAAATGGAGTGCCAGGCAGACCTGAGTAAGGAGCTCATTGCACTGTGTGCCTGGGGGCAATGCTAGACCATGGCACCTATCACCCCCAGGCCAAGACCACACTGGCAGGAGACTTGTTTCCCCAGTCACGTGTCTAGATTCAGCTTTGCTCAGCAGGTGACCTGTTCCACACCTCAGCACAGAGTAAGTGTCACCCTCATTTCTTCTTCAGGAGCCCTGACAATGTCAAAAGGGTTACTTCAAGGGAACTTTATTGTGTTTTTCTCTGGTGTTTATGCCCCTAAATCATGAGCACTTCTGTGGTCCCGTGCTTTTATTATGAAGCCCTCACTGGGACATTTTTTAATTTTTGAAAGAATACCCAGAGAGTATCTCAGGTACTCAGGAGGCAGAGGTAGGAGGATCAAAGTCTGAGGCTGACCTGGGCAAAAAGCATGAGCCCCCTACCTGAAAAACAAACTAAAGCAAAAAGGGCTGGGGGGTGATAGAATACCTGCCTAGCAAGCGTAAGGAGTTCAAACCCCACTACCACTAAAAAGGAAAAAAGAACACACAGGGCTGGAGGGACAATGTACAGAGCTTCACTTTGGAAGGAGGGTAAGAATGGAGCACAGCTAGGCAGCTGTGCTCAGAGTCACAGAACTATGTACTTAACTTTTCATTATAGAGATTTTATCACAGTCAAAAAAAATTCTCACAGACAGATTAATTATCTTACCAAACAAAAGCCACCTAAAACGACTGAGAACAGAGGCTGCATCCGGTCACCTTACACACACCAAACTGTCCACACGCATGGGGTGAACCGAGTTTGTGGAATGCCCTGTCACATGCTGAGTTAGGATACAGCTCTTGGGTCTTACCCAAGGCCAGGGCTCCTGCTCCGGCCATCCTCTCTGGCTGGGGCAGTACTAATGGGCTCAAAGACCTATCAGAGGTGAAGGCAGCTGCTGCAGTAAGTGGAACCCAGTGCAAGTGCACACTTACGTGGTTGTCGTAAATGGTCAGCGCGGCCTCGTATTCACCCTGGAAACCAAGATGCCATGATGAGCGTCTGGAGAGGGTTATACTGAGAAAGGCACAGCCACGCCAAAGCCCCCACACATGTGCCTGCACCTCCTTACAGGGAGACTGGGCAGGGCCCAGCAGGACCATACTCTCAGGAAGGGAGGAGGCAAACCCACAGTCACCCTGCCTGGCTTTTTCTCCCAGCAGAGCAGGCAGCAGCTACCTAAACTGCAACTCAGGGGCGACTCCCAGGAGTGTTGCCTTGCCTGCTAGAAAACTCAGTTCAGCCTGAGCAGCCCTAAACCAAAAATTCCAATCTGAAATGCTCCCCAGTCCAGAATGCTGGACACTGACATGCCACCACAAATGGAAAGTGACAACCTGACCTCATGTGGCAGGTCACAATCAAAACACAGTACCCTCAGAACAGTCATAAAGTGACCTTCAGGCCATATGGATAATATGCCTATGAAACCACAGTGAATTTCACATTTAGGCTTGGATTCCATCCCACTCATTATGTATATGCAAATATTCCAAAATCCAAGAAATTCTAAACCTGAAACACACCTGCTCTGAGGCATTCTGGGTAAGGGAGACTTAACCTGAGTGAGTATTGCTGACATTCATCTGTGCTGGCTGTGTCATGCACTTCCTCCCAGTCTCTTCCCCTGTTTTCCCTCCTGTACTTTCAGCTGCTTCTCTGCTTCCTTCTAGATGCGATATCCTCGCATTCTTGCCATGTCAGGACCCTCACCTTGCACTCATTTCTCTCCCTGGACATTTAGGGAGCTGACACCTTTCTCTGTGGTAAGCAGTGCTGTACAAAGCACCCTGAAAATGGGACACTCCCTCAGAATCACTGGGATCCAGAGACTCCAGAGCAGCTGCCCCAACCCCTGCTCCCCCTGGGTGGTCTCGATCTGTGGGGAGGGGCCGAGCCATGTGCCCCAACAACACAGAGGCACTCAGTTACAACTACACACAGTCCACGTGATTCCTGTTTCCCAAGAGTGAAAAGAAGGCGTGATAGCGCTCAGCTTGAGAAATCCTTGACAAGCTTCGACTCCACTGGATGCAAGCACAAAACAGTGGCCATGGACAGGACACAGACAACAGATGCTAGAAAATGCTTCTTCTTCCGGACATCTGTATTGGGTGAGACTGTCCAAAGAGATGGGCATCTTACCTTTTCAATCAGGTAGAGAGCCCAGTGCCAGTAATTATGGCAAGCTAGCATATCAGAGTCCTGCAAAAGGAAGAAGAGAATTAAAGAAATGTCTGAGAGTCTGGAGAAACACAAGGGTGCTACTACAGAGGTGGTCACCTCTGAGTGCAGTAAATAGGCCCTGCTGGGTGCTGGCTCTCAGGTCAGTCTACACTGGCTATTTACACCCCACCTAATCACCTTCAGACTGAGGGGTAGCGACTGTCATGCCTGTATTTATGAGGGGAAACTGAGGCTGGGAGAAGTGGGCATCTCGCTAGGACCCCAGTAGGAATCAATAGTGCCAGGATGGGCACAGAGATGCCTTGGCAGCTCAAGCTCTGTCTCCTTTGGGTGTGCAGCTGGAAAAGCCTTGTCCACTGTGTGCCCCAACAGCTCAGCACTTGGATGAAATCGTCAGATCCACAGGCCCAGGGCTGCTCTGAGACAGTGCTGGTGAAGCCCACAGAGCCAGGGGGCAGGGCTGACATTTGCAGGTCAATGCTGCTCTGCCACAGGCTGGGCCTCAGTGGGAGGCAATGTTAGAGTGAGTTGTATTTGGCTCTGAGCTGGCCCCTGCTAGGATGGTGCAGGCTTGGGAAACTAGGCTCATGGTTTTTAGAAGGAGGCAGCCAAAGAGGGGACCAACTGCTGCTCCGCCAGTTGCCCTTTCCACAGGGCCAAAGCTGTAGGTCTTCCCAAGCTCAACTCAGATTGCATGGTTCCTGCTTGTGGGCCAAGTGCAACTCTCCCTGGCACTCCTGACCTGAGTGCTCTCTGACCCAAGCACATAATAAATGCTGAGCAAATGGCCTGGGGTCTCCAACCTATACCACAGGCCCAGTGGCCTCTGTCCAAGGGTCCCTGCTTTGGTGCCAGCCCTTCCTTTGCTGAGACCCCTGCCTGAATACTGCCTCACCTCCCTGGGGAAGAGGCCCTGACAATGCTTCCTGCAGGGAAGCATTACGTCCACCTTGGCTCCAGGACACCAAACTGCCCACTCCCTCACAGGACACCATAGGACATGGCATCTTTGCTCAGGCTGTTCCTGGCCTGGGATACCCTCCATCTCCCAGCTCGGAGGTTGCTTCCTCTAGGAAGCCTTTCCTGACCCACACCCGGGTTTTCACATCTCTGAGCGTCCCCGTCATGGTGCAGCTTGTGCTCTGCACTGAGGTTGATCATTCCATGTGACCAGGCCCTTTGAGGACAGAGAAGTCTAGGCTGAACCCTCAGTAGGGGTCTCTCTGGGGTAGGGCAGAAGTATGAAGTCTGACTGAACTCTTTGCCCAGCATCAAACACTGGAGGCAGGTGCAGGAGGAGGAGAGAGAGCCCCAGGCTCATCGTCCAAATCCAGGCCCTCCAGCCAGCCAAAGGCTGCCAAGAGCCACAGGGGACAGAAAGAGACATCAGAGAACACCTGCCTTTTCTGATAGGACCCCAGCCTTGGTGGCATCAGAACCAAGACAAATGAGGACTCATTTATGGGGCAAGGGCTTCACAGAACACAGATGAGGAAACTGAGGCTCAGAAGGATCAAGTTCTTGTTCCAGGGCAGAGCCAGGCCTCAAAGGCAGGTATCTTAGGCCCCATAAAATCAGCCAGCAGCAGGGCTGAGTGAAGTTGGGTACAGGGAGTGAGAAAAGTGAGACCACAGGATAGGGCCTGGCAGGGTGATAGGCCCAACTCCCAGGTCAGCCCTGCAGATATCTCTGGGCTATCACCCCCACCTGTACTCCCTCCTGGCTGCACCCTGTGCTCCCTGAGGCCACTCTGTGGTCCCACGAAGAACCAGCAGGCCAGGAGCAGAAGCTCGGGCAGATCCCCACTTGCCAGGCTCTTAGTTCCCGGCATTCTTTCCATACTTTCACAACCAAATGCCTCAGCCCAACTCCAATTCTAGAATCAACAGAGAACCACTGGCCAGTGTTGGGGAGTTGTGGGGTTTCAGGGGATGCAATGGCCTGTCAGAAATGCCTCCCAGCTGAACCCAAGCTCCCTGAGAACTAAGGTATCTTATGGGGCCTAAGATACCTCAAGTCCTCAGTGTGACTTGAGGAACCAGCCTGAACTGTCCAGGTACACGACCATTGATAAGAACCATACCTTCCAGTGGGCTTCTGAGCACTTCATGAACTCCAGCCCATCCTTGACCTCTGCTCTCATCTCGTGGATGTGGGCAATGGTGTGCACAGACCACGCATCTGTTGGGGCAATAGATAGAGCCTACACAGGGTGGGCGGTTGAGGGTGGGAGGTGGGGGTGAAGAAAACGTGGATTAATCAGACTGTCTGGGCAGAGCACACAGGACTTGAATGGGACTGAGCAAGCAAAGAGGACAGGGCTGGTTCAGAATAATTGCCGTCCAACAGCCAGTCCCTCTCCTGTGTGCTCGGGGCAATACCAACCACAGGGTGTTGTCAAGGAAGGCATCACCGCCTGTTTCACAGATGAGGAAACTGAGGCTCAGAGAGGTTGAGTGACTTGGTTGGAGTCTTTCCGAAGCCAGAGCTCAGACATTGACCCCACAGCCTCCTGTCTACAGCTGAGCCACCTGCAATCCAGCCACTCTGGGCCTCAGTTTCCCCCTGGTAGAAGAGCCACAGGTGCTGCCTTCCACTCAGAGCTGTGAGCACTGTGTGGACTTTCATGTGCTCCCGTGGCTTATGGCTGACCCTTCCACTAACACTCGTGTGATGGCTGCACAGGTGGCTTTGTGGGCTCAGAAGCGGCAGGTCCGACAATACGGCTATAAATGATAATAGTCACGTGACCATGACTACTGAGCTCCACGGTGACCAGTGAGGCGGCAGGAAACATAGCACAACTCCCACCTGCTGGTGGCATTGTTCTTCTGTTCATTTGCTCCCTTCATGTTTGCTGAGCGCCTGCCAAGTGCCAGGCACAGAGCAGCAACCTGGGGCGCATGGCCCATTCCCAGGTTCCCTAGATTTGCTATCTCAGTCTCCACCCCTTTCACAAGTGTTCAGAAGCACCAAGCACTTCTGCCCTGGCCTGGCACCTGCTGCAGGGTTTTGGGCAATAGGCCATCCACACCAAGCCCTGCCTCCCTGCTCCCACTCCTCGGCCTTCCTGAGCCCCACCTGCAGGGCCCTGAGTGCCAGGATAATTAGGGACACTGTAGAGCACAGTCTGAGCAGACTGGGGCTCTGGGGCCGCCTGAAGGGAGCCTACTCAGCATGCTGCTCTCAGCCAGTAAAGACAAGGGGCGGTGGCTCAGGACAGGCAGCACTGCCACCTGGCTCTTGCTGTCTGGAGATTGACCAGCTGCCTCCCTACCCTGGAGCCCTCGGGAGAGTTCAAACTTCCTTCCTGGGCTTCCCCTGGCTAGCCACCCTCTGCTCGTCCTGTCCTTCCCCAGCCTGGGACTGACCTGCTAGACTTGCTGCCCCCCTGCCCACCCTCACTCTCATCAAAGCCTGGTGGACACTGTCACAGCTTGGCCTTCTTGCCCAGTCTGTAGAGTGCTGGGGTGAGGCAACATAGGGCCTGCAGCATGGCTCACTGTAGCAGAAGTGAGGGACACAAGGGAACAGTCAAGCTTGAGCTGGCATCACTGGCCGTCTTCCGGGGAGCTTTGTCATGTCAGCGGGCCAAAGCTCCCATCCAGAGCTTCTCAAGTGTCCTGCCACCCCTCACATGCCCAGATGAGTGCCACCCAACCAGACAGCCCTGCTGCAATGATCTGCAAGGGATCCTCCTGTGGCTTACCCTGGACAGTGATGCCTCATCACCCTGGCCGTGGAACCAGGCCAAGTCCTTCCCGGCCTGACTCAGAGCTAAAGCAAATAACCCATCACCCTCATCTCATCTGGTCTCAGATTCTGATTCAGGGCAATATTCAGACACACCTGGATGGTGCCCTCTTGGGAAGGGGACAATGCTTGGGGAGCTGGGGAGAGGCTAGGGGGCTGGGGTCTTATCCAGGTAGCTTAAAGGACAGTCATCAGATCAGGTGACTAGATGAGAATTTGATCCCTCACCTCTGAGCTGTGTGGGCCTGGGCAAGCTTTGGCCTGGCCTCTCTCTAAGCCTTGGCCCTCTTCTCTGGGCAACAAGGATTTTGATCTTATGTGAGCAGAGAGAATGGACAGGAGCTGGCATACATGAAGTCCCAGTCCCAAGCCTGGAGCATGGGCACTTGTCACCCTCTGAGTATGACAACTCCTCCTTGAGCCTTATTTTCCACTCCTACAAAGACAGGAGTGGCAAGAGGGACTCCCAGACATTGAGCCATCTTGCAGCCAGGCCTCTCACTTGGCCCTGAGTCCAGGCAAGTGGGGCGTCCAGAAAGATCCATTCTGCCAGCACGTCCCAGGAAGAATACAAAGTGTGGGGCCTGGAGTTGGTGGGGGCATTTAGCAGGTTCCACGCTGGCTCTGCCCTCTCACTGGTATGACTGGGAGATGTGGGCAGAGGTCAGGTACCAGCTTGTTTGATGGGATGACCCCACCACTCAGGCAGGAAGAGCACAGGCAGGTCAGGCCTAGCCGGAGGCAGCCTGCTCATCTCCTGAAACACTGGTGCTATTAGTGGTGCGTAGAGATGAGGTTGAAGGAGGAAGAACCAAGGATTGTATCCACTTCCTGCCTACAGTGCCCTGTCCTGGCAGTGCCACACGTGGTCTGCAACCAGACAGGGCTAAGGGAAGTCCAGAGCCACTGTTCTGTGCAACCCTAGGTGAATGTGGTGGCCACAGGCTCCCAGAGCTTCATGGTCCTTATCTGTAGATGCTGAACCATGATTTGCCCAGGAATGTGGCTCTGGAGACAAAAGATCAGTGACACACATGGCAAGTGACAGACACTTGCCTCAGCAGCTACTCACAGTAATGAGTAGCTGCTCCAAACCTCTGAGGACCCTCGGGGTCCTGGGCACACAAGGGTGGCCTTTGTGAACTCTGCCCCACCTGATGGCCACCCCCTGAAGGGACATGCAACCTTGAGAAGGGATGACTTACCTCTTTGGCAAGCTTTTCTGCCTGATCATAGAAGTTGGTTTCCATCAATCCAAAAGAATAGATACCTTTCACATAGCTGAAAACAAAGAGAATGGCTCAAAACACAGAAAGATGGGCTGGAAGCAGGCTGCTCTGCCTCCCAGAAGGACATGCTGAAGTCCTAACTCCCAGGACCTGAGAATGAGGCCATGTTTGGACACAGGGTCTTGGCAGATTTAATCAGTGAAGATGAGGTGGGCCCTGATCCAATGGCTCTGTCCTTTTTGTAAGAAGGCCACATGAGACAGGGTCACAGAGGGGATCGGCCTATGAAGACAGAAGCAGAAATCAGAGGGATACAGCCATGGGGAAAGCCAAAGGAAACCAGCCTCCCCCAGAGCTGGAGGAGACCCAGAGGCAGCCTCTGGAACTGCTGGAGAAAACTGGCCCTGCTCACACCCTGATTTGGGCTTCAGGCCTTCAGAATTGTGAGTTTCTGCTGCTTTGAGCCGTCCAGTGTGGCACTTTGTCACAGCAGCCCTCATGTGGACACACTCTAATAGTCCTGGCCAGGCATTGCACTTCCCAGCGACCCATGCTTCTGACTGGGGAGGGGCACGGTCCTCAAACCCAGCACATCCACACAGCAGCCCCTCCTAGATTAGCATTTACCTCCTCAAGCATCAACATGGGGTCTCTCCACCGAGGATGACCGTCTGCCAGGTAACACTCACTCAGAGGCACAGCCCCAGGGCATCTTCCTGGGAAGTCCTCTGCTTCTGCAGCACTGCACAGCTCTCCACCCTGTGGTCAGTGGGGATACACCCACCTGACAGCTGGGCCACTCCCCAGGCTGAGCTCAGGGCCCCATTTTTCCCTTTCACTCTCAGCCTCGGACCAGCTGAGATGGACTAAAGACCCTTTGTGAAGAACACACACCTGCGTTTCTCATTGTAACTCTGACACTGATACCCAAGGCAGTTACTTGTGGCTCTCGGGGGTCAAGTGGAAACAAAATGGAGTCACGGTGTTTCTGAGACTCAGATGTTATCTTTACTACCACGCTCAGAGACAAGTTCCAGCTTTTCTTACTCACAAAGCATGTTCTACAGCAGCAGTTTTCAAGATGTGTGTATTTGTTTCGCTTTTGGCGGTACTGGGGTTTGAACTGAGAACCTCATGATTGCTAGGCAGGCGCTCTACGATTTGAGCCATGCCTCCAGCGCCTTGTTTTTATTTTTCAGGAAGGGTCTTGAGTTTTTGCCTAGGGCTAGCCTCAGAACACAGTTCTCCTATCTATGCCTCCCATGTTAGCTGGGATTACAGATTCATACCACCACTGCCCAGCATGTTGATTGAGAGGGTCTCAGTGACTTTTTGCTCCCGTTGGCTTGGACCACAGTCCTCCAGGTATCTGCCACCCTAGTAGCTCAGATTACAGGCATGTACCACCATACCTAGCCCATATTACCTTTTAAAAACTGTTTATTGAGTGCTTACTGTGTGTCAGGTACTATCAGGCTCTCATGAAAGTTAATTTTGTCAACTTGGCTGGACCAGGGTGCCCAGCTGTTTGATCAAACGCCAGTGTAGGTGTTGCTGTGAAGGTTTACTTTTTAGATGTGACTGACATTTAAATCAGTAGACTTTGAGTCAAACAGGTGACTCTCCATAATGTAGGTGGTACTCATCCAATCAGCTGAAGACCTTAAGAGAAGACAGCCAGGTATGGTGGGGTATGCCTATAATCTCAGCAAGTTAGGAAGAGCAAATAGGAAGATTGCAGTCCAGAACGGCCTGAGAAAAACTAACTAAAGCAAAAAAGGCTCAACTGGTAGAGTACTTGCCTAGCAAGCATGAGGTCCTGGGTTCAAAATCTCAGTACCACCTGCAGATCCAGGAAAAAGGAACTCTGCCTCCAGACTGCCTCTGGACACTGCTATACATGAATTTCCAATCTGCTGCCCTCCTCTGCATGCTCTGAACTTGGCAGACTCTTAAAACATGATCCAGTGCCTTAAAACAAACCTCTCCTCCTGCCCTTGGAGAATAAGATGCAGACGCTTGTCACTATAGATAAAGATGATCAAGAGAGACAGAGAGCCAGCAAGCGAGGTGCTCCAGATCCGGGTGGTTTCTCTGGAGAGCCTAGACTACTGCAGCTTCTCGGTCTATTAGCTGTGAGACCCTCATGAGTTGCAATGGAGTCAATCACAGGTGGTGGCCACTGGAGCTGCTCACAAACATTCCAGGCCTCCCTCTCTTCCCAAGCATGGAGACCTGCACTTGGGGCTCTCCTGAGGGGATCAGTTCACGGGATCAGTTCTGGCTAATGACTTGGGAGCTGCCAGGAATCCCTTTCACTCTGTGAGAACTCAGTTGCCATTATGAACCCGCAGAAGAGCTCTCCTTCCCCTTGCAGTGACTGTGAGTCCAGAGGCCAGTTGCTTTGCCAGCTGGAATCCTGACAGGAGACAAGAACCCTCGCCCTCTTAAAATAGATGTGTATGGGTGGGGAAATAAACCTTTGCTGTAATAAGCTTTGGCAGATAAGATCAGGAACGCTTGTTACTGTAGCAAGAACAATCCTGTCCTGACCGACACTACTCATTCTCAGGGTGGGACGAGGACCAAAGGAAGAAGAGGAAGCCTTCTGACTTTAAAGCACTAGGAGATGAACACACTCACTATTTTTAGGACAGGGTCAACAGAGTTGCAAAGTTGTGGGGGCAGAAGAGAGAGATCAAGAACTTGATTTGATTTATTTGATTTCCAACGGTGCATACCTGCTAAGGGGGACATCTGGCGTCCAGAAGGGGTAAATTCGAGCAACAGAATCTCGCATCTGTTCCTGGTAGCCCAGATAAAAATAAGCATCATGGGAAAACTTCAGGGCCAACATGTCTGTGGGGTGGTCCCGGAGAATCTGTTCCCATATATCACAGGCTTTGGGGAAGTTCCTGGAAACCAAGAGAGATGTCTCAGCCACTTCGTGTCCAGCCACACGAAGTCCACACGCACAGGGAACATAAAAGTTGCCCAGTTCTCAGTCTGCACTGGATTGCTTTTAAAAATTATATCAAGGGCTGGAGGTAAAGCTTGGCAGTGGAGCACTTGACTGGCATGTGCGAGGTGCTGGCTCCCCCCCCAGCACCACAAAGAAAAAATACTACATATATATAAAATATATTCATAAGTCTCAGTTTCTATGTTAGGTTGTGGGTGAGAAAATTGAAAACCAGTGAGAAATCTTGCTCTCGTGTTCGACTTAAAAAACAAACAAACAAACAGGTTTAACCAGGTGCCAAAGACAATTTCACCTGAGACCATGAGGTGGCTGGAGAATCCCACACCTGTGCTGACTCACCAAGAGGACCCAGCGGGACTCTGTGGGTCTAGGTCAGAACCCCGGAGCCCCTGCACAATCCGCTCAGGTCGCCTAACTCTAGCTCTATAGGACATCTTGCCTGCCTGAGCATCTAGAGCTGTCCTGGAAGATGAGAGGAACAACCATGGGAAGAAAGGCAGAACGATCTCGAAGGCAGTGAGCACACGCTCACAATGGGGTGGGCTACAGTTTGGACACTGAATGTCCCCAAAAGGTCCACCTGTTGAAGGCTGGGCCCCTCACCTGTGGGTATTGGAAGGTGGTGGAACCTTTAGGAGGCGGGGCCTCATGGAAGTGACGTCATTGGGGTGTGTCCTTGAAGGAGACATTGACTCTACTGGCTGCCATGGTGTGAGTGGTCTCTTGCACCACCTGCTTCCTCCAGGATGTTCTGCTTTGCCATGGCCCCCAAAGGAACAGGACCAAGTGACCATGGACTGAAACCTCTGAGATCGCGGGCCAACAAAAGTGGAATATTTCAGGTATTTTACCACAATTGTGGGAAGCTGACTAGTGCAGTGTGTTAGGGTACGAAGCATATGTTGACTGTTTTCTTTTCTCTTCTAGATATTTCTATCATGTGGTCTTGTTCATTTTATTTTATTTTTATTTTATTTTTTATTTTCAGGGGAGAGCATGAACCTGTTCATTTTATAATTAAAATAATAACCAGTTTATTGGGGCAGGGCATGATGATGCATGCCTGTAATCCCAGCTACAAAGGAGGCAGAGGTAGGAGGATCAGAGTCTGAAGCTGACCCTGGCAAAATCAAGAGACCCTATGTGAAAAATAAACTAAAAGCAAAATGACTAGGGTGTGGCTCAATGGCAGAATGCTTGCCTAGCCAGCACAAGGCCCTGAGTTTAATCCCCAGTACTGCCAATAAAAATAAAAATAAGAAAATAACCAGTGTATTTAATGGCACATAATAAGTTACCCTGAACACTAGACTGGAATCCTAGCCAACTCCTTTCTTGTTGGGCACTCAAGGGAGGGCAGAGCATCAGGTGGGACGAAATTTTCAGTCAGACCATCTCATGAGGTGGGGCAAGAACCACGCTCAGGCTGCCCCCTCCCCCAGGGCGTTGGGACACCTGTGGCATCACCTGTGCAGCCTCGGAACGCCAGCCCCCTGGCCCAGTGAGGCCCCTTACCCCTTGGCAAATGTCTCTACCGCAGACACGTGCAGCTGCTCCCTCAGTGTCAGTGGCTGGGTTTTTGAAATCTCCACCATGGTCTTCACAGCCAGGTCCAGCTCTTTGTCCAGCCTCACAGAGCTTCCGGTACCAATGAGCACAAGACCATTGGCGATGGCGTGGCCCATGGCTGACAGAAGGTTGGAAAAGAGAGGGTGACTCAGGTGGTCCAGGTGCCATGTGTGAAATAGACGGCCCGCACCACAGGAGGTGCACAGAGCCAGGCTGGCACAGGTGGCACAGGTGGATCATGTGCTGGGCTCTTGCCAAAAGGCCAGCACCTGGCTCTGTCTTCAGCAGGCAGCAGAGAGAAAAGCAATGCTCAAAGCAGCTACAGACATTTTTTTTAACAGGAACCCTGGTGAGTACCCCTGCCCCAGATGAGCTGCTGTTCAGGGGACTGATCCAACAAGGCCTTGGGCACAGATACAGGGTCCTGTCTTGCCTTCCTCACATGCTGACAGTGGGGTGAGCATGCCTTGTGGCCCTTACAGTGACCTTGCTGGATGTGTACAGGCCCTGAGCCCTAGCTGGGTTCCCAGCCCCCACCTTGAGAGAGGCAGTGTGTCCACTAGCATGTTATATACTGGCCAGGGCCAGGCACCAAGGACACAACCATAGTGCTAGGACCACCCATGTGGTCCTGCTTCTGATCCAAGCTCAAGATCTGCTCAGAGCCTAAGCTCAGCCACTGGCTGCCCCCACAGGTTGGGTTTGGCAGGCCTCGCTCCTCCCAGCTCTTCCCCCATTCTGTCCTTGCCAGGGTAGTTGGGCCCCTGCCTCTAGCTAGACTAGGCTGCAGTGGGTGGGAAGAGGTTCCTACTGCCAGTCCTCCCCTTATGAGACCTCTCAAGCCCAGAATCTCATCCCACATGGAGGCCACACACTTGGGATTCCAAATGCACTGTGCTGACTCCCCCTGTGTACCATATGCAGGCTTGTCTGTGTGCCAGGCTCCATCCCCCATTGGTACTGTCCCCCACCCCACCCTAGCAGCTCTGGGGGAGGCTCATGAGGCCCCCAACAAAGGTGGCAGGAGCCATATCTCGTGTTCCAGAGGTGTGGGCTTTGGATTCAAACAGCCTTGGATATTTGTTTACTCTTACTGAACCTCAGTGTCCTCATCTGAGAAGTGGGATGAGTCTCCTCATGTAGAACTGAGGTGGAGAAACCATTAGACAGTAGCCTTCTGTAGACTCTGACCTCCTTACAGGAGCAGCTGTATTCCAAACACAATGGGGGCTGCCATCTTCCCCCCTTCTCTATAAATGCCAGCCCAGTGCTGCCACTCAACCTGCCTCTCCAGCTCAACTGAGTCCCCGGAAGGGAATGAAAGAGGGTTTGGGTCCATGGCCTTGGCTTCTCCATCTGGGGAAAGCGTTAACTCACCAAAGGTTGGGTCAGCTGCTTTGAGCTTTGACAGGCAGCCCTCAATGCCACCAAGACTCTTGTCATTGGTCCATTTTACATACTGAAATTAAAAAGGTAAAACAAGTTTGTCTTCATGGACTCCTTAGATTATGTTAAATGAAGGCACGCATCTAAATCCAAGTTTTTGTTTGCTTGTTTTTGGTGCTAGGGATCAAACCCAGGTGTCATGCATGCTCTACCACTGAGCTACTCCCAACCCTGGATTGCTTTTCTTTTTAGAACACTTGAGTGTTTTCTAGACTCTAACTCAAAGAAAGAGATAACTTAGTAGATCTTCTAGGAAGAAATGAAATGCACATGACTGGGGACACACTTTCTAGGGCCACCATTCTCAAAAAAGAAACATCGAGAGGCAGGTCCTTCCTGACAGGTGGCCTCCCCCATGTCCACCTCTTCAGCCTAACAGGGACCTAGAGATCTTTCACCACAATTCCTGCTTCTTACTCATTCTCCCTCCCCTCCCCTTCCCTTCCCCCCCCACCCCATGGTACTGGCGCTTTATCACTTGAGCCATTCTGCCAGCTTTTTTTTGTGTCTGGGGTTTTTTCGAGATACGGTCTTGTGAACTATTTTCTGAGGCTGACTTTGAACCTTGATCCTCCTGATCTCTGCCTCTTTAGTAGCTGGGATTACAGGCGGGAGCCACCAGCACCCTGCTTCTTCGCTTTTCTTAAAAACAACTCCTGTAAGCATTGATCATGGAGTTAGAAAGAGGCACGAAGGCTAGAAGGTAAGCTTACCCTAATCTCATCACCATTTTGAACAATTTGGGGTGTTTGTTTCTATTCTTTCTTTTTCTGTTTTAGAGGTGCTGGGGCTTGAACTCAGGGCTTTGTGCTTGCTAGGAGGTGCTCAACTGCTTGATCCCTCTGTTCTTCTTAAATACCACTACGGCTTGGATGAGTTTTCTTCCTACCCAAACTCTTATGAGATTTGGTTGCAGCGGAGAAGGGTTACACGGTGCAGCCTTTTAGAAGTGACTAGATCTTTACAAGGAGTTAGCGTCTCCCTCTAGAGACTGGATTAGTCATTACAAAGTGGCCAGACGCTGAGTCCCTGCTCTCCTGTTTTGCACCACAAGGCCCTCACCAGAACGGTGAGCTAAATAAACTGCTTTATGAATTATTCACTCCCAGGTATTCTGTTATAGCAAAAAAAAAAGTGGATAAAATAAATGACTATTTTTTTAAATCCTAAAATCATTGGTAATGCTTTATGTTTTTTAAGTCTGCACTTCCATGTCTAACCTACAGTTAAACAGAATTAGTCCTTCCTGGCTTTTAACAAATTCAGGGGAAGTTGGGCACTAGAGCCCATGCCTGTAATCCTAGCACTTGGGAGGCAAAAATAGGAGGATCACAAGTTTAAGACCACTCAGGACTACATAGTGAGACTGCCTCAAAAAAAAACAAACAAAAATACAGGGGAGTTGGCGTAGAGATTCAAAGAGCCTATGCTCTAAGGCAGGGCAGCACAGAGAAGCCATAACAGAGCAGAATAGGCACAGGCTAGAAAGATGAATCAAAGAACATGGGCATATCACATGGAGTACCCTACAGGGGTCAACAAGGTGTAGGAAGAGCAAGTGGGCAGACATTAAACACAAAATAGACAAACAGCTCAAAAGCACACAGTGAAATCACTGGCAAGGACAAGGACAGACTGGAACAGAAGTGCCCAAGGCATGACTAATGCCTCCCATCTACTTCTAGAAGCTTCCTGTCAGTGCCAGTGGTCTGAACAGGCCAGATTTTCTTTCCGTTGGTGTTCTTAGCCTCTGCTTGTGACTTAACACCCTGGGCCTCCATTTCCCCACCTGTCAAGTGAAGAGGATGGACCTTACTTCTAAAACCACAGGATTTTCCACTAGTGTGGACGGATGTGCCTGGGAGTGCAGCAGAGGGTCTTGGCCTAGCAAAGTGGGCACATTCACAGCACAAGCCCCAGGAAGAGCCCACATCACACCCTCAGCAGGCTCAGCACCCTTGGCCCTCTGCAAGTTCACTGCTGTCTGCCCACCCCTGGGGGCCTCAGGAAGAGGGCAAGTACAGAGGCCCTCTCAACTATACTGTGGGCTGGCAGGTCAAAGCTCTGGCTTTTTTTTTTTTTTTTTTGTAGTGTGAAAAGCATTCATCAAGGGCTGGAGCTGGGGCTCAAGCGGTAGAGCACCTGCCTTGCAAGTGCAAAGCCATGAGTTCAAACTCCAGAACCGCCAAAATAAACAAGCCTTCACCAATTAAAAAAACCCTCCTCAGAGACTTCACAGGCAGGCATACCTGGGTCAGGGTGGCATCAAACAGCTTGCAGGCTTCATTGCTCATAGTGGAGAGTGGGAGCCCAGCATCATTCCATGCCTACACATAGCAAGGAAGGAATACCAGGGCCTCATTCCACGGAGTCCCCCAAACTTAAACACACAAGCATTGCTGACTTCCAAATGCTTAGCAATCTGCTTCTTTAAGATATGCCCTTCCCCGGCATGCATAAACTCAGATTTCATGGACAGTGCAGAGCAGAAAGAGCTGAGCATGGATGGGGCAGACCCCATCCAAATCCCAGCAGCCTTAAATAGCTATGTGCCCTCAGGAGAGGCCCTCCTTCTCAGCCTAGGACCCAAGGGAGGTGACTTGAAGTGTTGGCCAGGGCACAGACAGTAAATAGGAGTCCTTGATCACCAGGAAGGAAGGTCTGGCCCCAGGAGGAGGAGTCTGGTGCTATTGCAGCTTGGAGGAGGGTTGGCTTTCCACCAGGCTACACCATTGTCAACTACCAAACAACTCCTTTCACCTCCCACTGAATGGGGGGATTCAGACCTCCCAACCGCTAGTGGAAACACCCCGAAGATAAGACCGCAATGGCGGCCCTTGGTGTCCAGCCCCGGGCGCACTGTGCCAGTGACTCTCCTGGCCCCTGCTGAACCACCCATGCCCAGTGAGCCCCAACCACCGGGCTCCGAAGGGCACCGCTTGTTTCCCCGGGTGGGGACCCCACAGGAGGGTCCGTGGTCCCCTCCACGCGCCGTCGCAGCTGCCCCGCGCCCCAGCCAGGTCCACCTCCGGACTGCCTCCGCAGCGCCCGCGGCCTGCCCCCAGATCGCCCGCAGGCCGGGTCCCTCCCTGCCCGGTGCCACCCCTGGGGACCGAGGGAGACCCAGCCGAGGAGGCCTCCGCGTACCTGACAGTCTCGCAACGGTGCTGTTGTCGCCATAGTCTGTGGTGCCGAGGTTCAGAGGTCGGGGCTCGCGGGCGTCCGTCAGGCCCTTGGTGGAGGGGGTGGTGTCGAGCGCCGAAGGGGGAGGGGCGGTGGGCGGGGAGAAGGGCGGGGCTGTGGGTGGCGGGGGGCGGGGAGGTGGGCGGGGCGTCCGCCCTCTGCTCCCTCAATGATGGGTTTGGGACCCGCCGGCGCTTGCCCAGGGACCCCAGGCCGCCCCGAAACCCCCGGGACGGGGGGGTCCGCTGTGGGCGGTGGGGGGAGCTCGAGGGGCCTCCGTAGGCTCCCCTGCTCCCGGGCCGCGGGAGCCCGACCTGGCCTGAGGGGACATGCTTTGACGTGAGCCACGGGGTCGATGCCAGCCACCTCCAGCAGGTGGGAGCCTGGGGACGACCGGCCAGGACGCGGGCGCGCCCAGTTTCCCCCCAACACCCCACTTCAGGCCAGGGCATCCTCCCTGCTGGGGACGCCCTTGGGGAGGCGGCTGCAGTCAGTCTTGAGAGGCAGAGGACCCGCTCGGAAAGCCGCGCGCACTATGCACATCCACCAGGTCGTACTTGGCCAACGCCTCAAGGACAGGCTTTGCCGTGTCGCCCCACTGCCTTGGTCCCGTCCCCTTCTCCAGGGCCTGCAGCGGAATTGTTACTTCCCTCCCCCAGTGTCACTTCGCGCTCTGAGCGGGACCACAGCCACAAACCTGACTCCATGCCAGCTCTCCCCTAATTTAATATGACCCCTCCCCCCTTCCTCCCTGGGCACTTCCCGGGGCCGTGAAGTACACGGTCAGAGCCTGTCTTCATTTTAAATGTTGACATTTTCTTCATCATGGATGTTTTGCATTAGTTTTGACTTTCAGAAATATCGTGTTAAAATACTGTTTTATGTAAGAGCTGAAACGCTAACGTTGTTAGAAGAAAACGGGTGAATCTTCAGGCCCTTGGATTAGGCAATGAATTCTTAGGGACACCTCCAAAAGAATAACCACCACTAACAAAGTAGATAAATCGGACTTTCATCAAATTAAGAACTTTTCTGCACCAAAGAACACATTACAGAATGGGAGAAAATATTTGCAAGTCATATATTGGATAAGAACTTATATCCAGAATAGATAAAGAATTCTTACAACTCAACAGCAAAATGCCAAACGGCCCAATTAGAAATGGCAAATGGTTTGAATTGACATTTTTCCAAAGAAGAAACACAAGGAGTGCAACGTTTTGAAGATTCATCTATGCTGTTACTAGGTCAAAGACATTAGGCGTAAGAAATCATATACGGTGTGATTATTTGTGTATGAAATGTCCAGAACAGGCAAATCCATAAGGACAGAAGATAGATTGTTGGAGGCCAGGAAGGTGGAAATGGGGTGACTGCTAATGGTTATGGGGTTTTCTCTGGCATGGTAAGAGGTTTGGGAGCCATATAGAGACAGTGATGGCAAAACATTCTAATACCACTAAGTTCTACACTTTCCAAAGTCTCTTTTTATGTGACCTTTATGTTGTCTTAATTAATGAGTTTTTGGTGGCCCCTCCCTTAAATTTTGCACCTGAGTTGAATGATTCCTCTCCCTCCCCTAGTTCAATATAAATTAGTCATCACTCAGGGAAAGACTGACGACAAGTAAAAGCAAAGATGCATGACCAAGGGCCCCAAAACACCAAGAACAAAACCACATGGGGACAAGGAAGCCTTTGCAGTGACCAGTGAAGGCCAGTCACCCTTGCAGGCACCTTCTCCAGGGCACCAAGGGTGGAGTATGAAGAGGCAGTAGAGAGTGTCTTTGGAGACCCCTGGAGGTGCCAGGGATGATGTAGCATTTCCCCTCCTGTTCCTTCAGCCTTGCTGAATGATGGGACCTTCCTGGGGTCCCTGGACCTGAGCCTCTGGAGGGCCTGGGGCCCAGAAGCTGGTGTCCACTGGTGGCAGCAGCTCTGAGAGACAAGCAGGAGTGGGACCTGTGGTAGGAAAGGCCACACTCCCCACCAGGCAGAGCAAAGGGTACCCAAATTTCCACTGGCTTCCATGTGGCCTTGCTGGGGGCGGGGGGGCAGGTATCGACAAGAGAAGATATCTGGAGCGGTGGCATGCTTGTAGGGAGTGGGCCGTTGCAACCTTCAGGCTGAAGGAGTTGGGGAGGCCATGATTAATCCAGGGACCACAGGTAAGAGACCCAAATAAGGATGTCCTTTAAGGAGTCAGCTTCACAGACATGTGCAGCCAAATGACCTCAATGACACAGGTGCCACCAAGTAGGACCTTTCCTGTCCTGCTTTCCACTTCTCCCTTCACTTCTGTAGAGAACCTAAAGCCTCACTTAACAAGCTGCAAAGTTTGTCTGAACTTTGTGTGTAGTGCAGTTTAGAATCAGTCAGCTACCAGACCTCTGAACTATAGATAAACAGCTGTCATCAACACCAAGACACTGTCTGTATGGACAGGACTGATAAGGCATGCAATCAATATAGCACCCAGTATAGCTATGCTTATGCTAAGACGTGATGACATCTAGAGCAGCACTTTGGGGTCCCCACTTTTAATCAGCAGAGGACTAAATGACATAGAGGGGAACATCCTGGAGTAGAAAATCACATACAAAGGACACCTGCTGAGGGCACAGCAGAGTGTCCATGATGCTCCTAGGCTAGCACCAAGGGACTCTCTCCTGACTAAGGGAGGACCTGCTGTGTGACAGCTCTCCCTCCCTGTGGATTGACTCCCAGTACTCTCAGCGCAAGAGAGCTGACAGCTGGGCCGGGTTCCTCTGATTGCTTGGTGGGGCTCCATCCATGGAGCACAAGCCCTGCCTGCCGTGTTGCCCTGCAGGGCGACTGCCTGTGTGCTGTGATTCCCTCTTGGACCTTGTGTGCATTCGAAGTGTGAATAAATGTTGTTGCACTGACTCGAGTGTCTCAGTGGTCTTCGAGGAACATTGCCGTGGTTTTGTGGTCTCTACCCTAAGTCTGCCCCGGGCCATATCTCAATCCCACCGTAGGGAAATTGGCCTGGGTTCAAGACATCACTAACTCCCCCTGGAGGGGAGAAGAACGAAGTTCTGTTCAAGACAACTTCTACCCTGGGGGTCAGAAGTGGCCTGGGGAAGAGGCAAAGACCAGAGCTGGGGGCAGAAGTTAATATAGAACGATGTCAGAAATTTGCTCTAACATGGACCTGGACATGTTAAGTACTGGGGGGGGGGGTCTTAAAAAAAAACAAAACTAATGGTGAACAGAGCTCTTTTATCCAAGGCACAGGAAAGAATTGGCTTCCAGCAGTGAGTCTGAATGAACTGGGGGTGGGGAGGAGATACTTTTTTTTTTTAAGTACTAGGGTTTCAACTCAGGGCCTTGCAGTTGCTAAGCAGGTGCTCTACCACCCGAGCCACACCCTCAGTCCTTTTTTTTTTTTGCTTTAGTTATTTTTAGAGTAGGGTCTCAAATTTAAACCCAGGCCAGCCTGGACCACAATACAATCTTCCTGTTTATGCCTCCCCCATAGCTGGGATGACAGGCCTGTGCCACCACACAAAGCTTTTATTGGTTGAGTTGGGGGGGGGGGCTCACTAACTGGCCTCTCTCACTTTACTCCCATCCAGTACAACCTGTTTCGCACACAGCGGGTGATGCTTCCAAAACGGAAATCAGGTCAGGTTCCCTTGCTGCTGAGAAACGTCCAGTGGCTTCTCAACCCACTTGGAACAAAGTCCAAAGGTGTGGTTGTGTCCTCCAGCCCTGCCCACTCTGTCTTTGGCTCTCTTACCACTCCCTCCCATCCCACCCATAGCAGCCACACTGCTCTCCTTCTCTCTGTCCTGCCTTTGAACCCTTGTACTACCAGCCCCTCTGCTAGGAATTCCAGCCCTGGTTCTTTTTTTACAAATGATTTTGGTATATAAATTTGATTTTGTTTTTCTAAGAATATAAAGCTTTCCCTCATTAATCTTCCAGAAGGAAGACAAGTGTGTTTCTTACGCGTGCGATACTGGCAATGAAAGGTGTAGTGCTCTTACACATAAATTAGATCAAATGACATCACACATTAAAAGGGGAAAGAGAGATATTCTAGTTAACCAGATGCAAGAAGCAAACATGACACAAAAACTGTGCAAGTAAGACCAAGTCAGTAACTTTTGTTAGGACACTGCATATTATATGGGACTGCTTGTGAGGCTACAGTGTGCACATTAAAACATCAAGGAAGAACCACTTATAGAGAATAGCCCCGGCTGTTTGTGAGGCCTTCTCCCTCATTTCACATAGACCTGCTGGCTTCATGGCAGGCACCTCTGCAGAGAGACTTTCCCCAGCTCCCAGTCCCGTCCTACTCTACCTGCTTTCTACCGCTCCTCACACAGAAATCACCCACATTATATCTTGGCCTGATTATTTTCGGTCACCCTCATTGTTATGGGAATTCCCTGAGAATTGGGACTAGGGCTAGTGCCCTGGGAAACACTAATACCCCAGAAATGTGAGGGAGAATGTTAAGTGAATTAATGAAAGAGAACTCAGAGGAGATAATAAAAAAAACCCAAGTAATGAAGTGGTGAACCTAAATCCAATCATACCAATAACCGTACTGGTGACTGTATAATACTTTAGTTAAGGGCAGATGTTGACTGAGTAGATAGGAAAACAAACCTCTATTACGTGTTTCCTATAAAGGGCCACCCTAAATATGAAGACATAAGTTGAAAGCAAATGCATGAGAAAGACATGCCATATAAAAAGTAAGCATAAGTGGGTTGGTGTGGGTATTTTAATATCAGGTAAAATGGACTTTAGAACAAAGATTATTATCAGAGATAGAGACATTTACACTGGTAGAAGGGGAAATTCAGCAGGCAAACAATCACAGCTGTGCATACTTTTAACAAAGAGAGCCACAAAACACCCAGCAGAAATTGACAGAGTCAGAGAGAAAGAGAAAATTCACAACTGTAGTAGGAGATTGACCTCTCTCAATAATTAATAGAACCAGACAAAAATTCACTTGGGGGCATAGCTCAAGTGGCAGAGCACCTGCTACCAAGTGTGAGGCCCTGAGTTCAAACTCCAGTACTACAAAAACAATCAGAAAAGATATGGAAGATCTAAGCAACACTATCAACCAGTTTGCCCTCATTTTTTTTTTTTTTTCAGTACTGGGGCTTGAACTCATGGCCTTCACCTTGAGCCACTCCACCAGCCCTATTTTTGTGAAGGGTTTTTACAGATAAGGTCTTGAGGAACTATTTGGTCAGGGTGGCTTCAAACCGTGATCCTCCTGATCTGCCTCCTGAGTAGCTAGATTTACAGAACACTCCATCCAACAATAGAATATACATTCTTTCAAGTACACATACGTCATACACCAAGACAGACCTCATGATGGGCTTTATTTTTTAAGTTTTTGTCTTTTTACGTTCTTTTACTTTTTTAAAAAAATTTTTGTTTTCATGATGAGCTTTAAAACAAGTCTTCCCGGGCAACTGTCCTCTTTTGGGGGTGGCTACCCAACAAGGCTTTGCTGATCCTTTCCTTGGGGGTGGTTTTGGTCCCTTATCATAAAGATGTTATCACTCCTGTCCTTCCTGGAACACAAGGTGATTGCAGGAGACAGAGACTCAAGAGACAGCTGTAAAATGGAGGCAGGAACACCAAGTTTTTCTCCCATTTCCAGTTAACTTGTGGGTCCAAGTAAGGAGTCAGTGCTTTCAGCAAAGATGGTTTCTCCCATTTCTCTGATTGCCCACATGTAGGCTCCAGAATCAGAGGTTGGTAAATTATATTAATTCTGACCCACCAAGAAGACTCCTCAGCAGAAATCCCAGTGCTATGGGAAATCCAGTTACAGTTCCTGGGGACTATGAGCTCCTGCCAGAGGGCCAGGGAGGTGCACCTGTGGGTTTCCCACTTACCTCTGCTTCTTCTAGTTTCTTAAGGTGAAACCTTAGGTAACTGGTTTGGGATATTACTTCTTTCCGAATATAAACATTTAAAACTGTATGTTTCTCACTCTACAATACTGTTTAACTGCATCCTACACATTTTTTGTATTTCTGTTATCATTCTCTGAAAATATTTCTAAATTCCCCAGTGTTTTAGTTTGATCCATGAATCATTCAAAAGTTGGCTGTTTAATTATAGATATTTGGAGTTTCCATAAAAATTTTATGGTTATTTATTTCCAATTTAACTCCAGAGAATATATTTAGTATGATTTATTTTTTTTAATTTACTGAGCCTTTATTTTGGGGGGGAGTAGTACTGGGGTTTGAACTCAGGGCCTTACACTTGCTAGGCAGGTGCTCTACCACTTGAGCCACTCCACCAGCCCTGTGTTGAGGTGGCTGCACCCTGGAGCAGGAGTGATCATCTCCTGGGAACCAGATCGCTCCCCTCAGTCATGGCAGGGATAACAAGTTCTCTTGAACCTCAGTGAACCAGAACTGAGATCATGATCAACCAGGCCACGGATATTTGGGACTGTTTAATACTGTACACCTCTCCTCCTCGCCCTTATTCTTCCTCTAAACCCTATACATCCAAGATGGGATGAAGTACTTACTTTCTCTGTGTGCCAGTACCCCGTAGTAACTCTCTTTTCTCTGCCTGTCACCTCAACTTGTCTTATTTAGCAGTCAGTGTTGGGGGGGAGCAGCCAGATCTGACATGTTGGATCCCTGGAGTTGGGCCTCCAGCCTAGAACTCCAGTTACAGTGGGAGAGAGGGTCCCCCTGCTGACTCTTAGACCTCAGTGACCCTGTGGCCTCCTAGCTCCATTTTTTTTTTTTTGGTGGTACAGGGTTTGAACTCAGGGCTTTGCCCTTGCAAAGCAGGCACTCTACCACTTGAGCCATATCTTCAGGCATTTTTGTTCTGGTTATTTTGGAGATGGGGTGGGGGGGTCTCCCAAACTATTTGCCCTGGCTGGTCTTGAACCTCGATGCTCCCCATCTCAGCCTCCCACTAAGTAGCTAGGATTACAGGCACCAGCATCTGGCTTATCTTTGTTTTTCTACAGACCCTGAGATCGTGCTAACTCTGTGACTTCCCACATCCCAGCTGCTCTGTGGTCCTCCTTGGTCCTGAGACGCCCTGCTGTTCCTAAATTCCCACGGTCCCTGAGAATCCATGGCCCCCATAACCTCCCGTGTCGCAAGGGGTCTCTCCTCGATCCTGAGACCCCCGCCGTCCTGAGATTCCCTCAAGTGCTCTGCTCCACGGCTTTCGCTGCCCTTCCCCCATGTCCGGTCCCAGCTTCTCTCGCGGGCCACTGTCCCCGCGCCCCCGGCCGTTGGCTCCCCCGGCCCGGCCCCGCCCCTTGGCACTCAGCTTCCCGGCCTCGCCATGCGGCCGGGGCCCGCACTGCTGCTCCTGGGCCTGGGCCTGGGCCTAGGTGGCCTCTTGCCCCGGCCTGGCCCTCGCGGGGCGCCGGCCTGGCCATCGGGCGTCATCGGGGGTGCCCCGGGGCCGGGGCTGCGTGGTGGCCTCTCCCGCCTCCGCCCGCGGCCCTGCGCGGCCTCCGAGGACGGTGACTACAGCGACCTCTCGGCGAGGCGCGCGGCCCCGCTCCGCCTGCTCCAGCGCGCCCCGCGCCGGGCCCGCCGCCCGCAGCCCGCCGGGCCCCGGTGTCCCTCGGGGGCGCCTGCCGTCAACTCGTCGGACAGCAGAGCCCTGCCGGCCTCCGAGTCCTGCCAGAAGAGCCCCTGCAGCATCCAGCAGGTGAAGATCAACAGGAACGACGAGCACGCGCCTCTGATTTTGAGCCGGAAGGCCGAAGCCACCCTCAACGTCACCGTGCGCTACCAATGCCGGGTTTTCCAGTCCATTACACAGTTCTGGCAGGTCTTTTCCGCGCCCTCTGTGAACGACAAGCCCGACTGGACCCGACCTGTGCATGCCCCGCTGCTGCGGAGAGGACCACCCACCACCGTTATACACATCCCCAAATCCTCTCTGCCCTGGGGGGTGTACGTGTTTAACTACACAGTGATCATCGTCCTGCGGGACCCCCAGATGCCTGTGCTCACAGCCTCAGATTCCATCTACGTCTGGATCATTAGGAGCCCCCTGAAGGCCGTTATTCTGGGACATGCCAACCTAACCCTTAATTTCTCAGATGAACTGGTTTTGAATGGAAACATGTCCTCTGACCCAGATGTGCCCAGACCCTTAGAAGGACTCCATTTTTCTTGGCACTGTACCACAAATCCAGGAAACTATGCTGGAGGCCAAATAACCATGACAAACAAGGAAGTCTGTCACCCAGAACAGTCTAGTCTAAATTGGCCCAGGGCCTCTAGCCCTGTACTAACACTTCCGCCGGAAACACTTAAAGGGGATGGGGTGTATTATTTCAGAATGGTGATCAAGAAGGATTACAGAACAGCATTTTCTGACAAAATGGTGCATGTGCTCCCAGGATCGAGGCCTGTGGCACACATTTCCTGTATCGAAAATTGCGACAGCACTTTCGTCCTATCAGACAGATTTTCTTTGTTTCTAAATTGCATGACCTGTGGCAGCCGTGATATCTATAACTGGTCAATTTTGTCGCCGTCAGGTCATGAGTTGCCATTTGATTGGACTTGGCAAACCGTGACAGGGAGAAATAGCGCTTACTTGTCTGTAAAAGCTTTTGCCTTCAGAAATTTTTTGGAAGGCAAGTTTTGGGTTTCTGTCTATCTAACAAGCTGGAGTGGTCTAACCTTGGACTTCAGGCATCCCTTTGTTATTAACCATGGCCCTCAAATTGGGGAATGCAAAATTAATCCAACTAAAGGGATTGCAATTATTACTAAATTCGTTGTCGAGTGTAGTGATTCTAAGGATAAACCCACCCCTCTTACATATAAAATAATAGTGTCTGATTTGGATGGTGTTGGCGAAATCAGTTCAGTAAGAGAAAACACCCTTGGAGCCATCCTGTATTTGGGGGCAAGTTCCACAGCACCCCCTTCCTTTCTCCCTGTTGGTGTGCTGGCGAACCGTTATGCCTTGAAGATATATGCTCAGGTTTATGACTCTCTAGGAGTTTTTTCTCAGTTGACTTTGTCCGCCACCGTCCAGGCTCCTGCTGACGAAAACACTCCAAAGACTGTGCTGCATCATTTACTCAATTTCACCATGGGACCAACTTCCTTGCTGTCTAGTTTGTTTCAAAAGCAGGACTGGTTGCCTGCAGGTTACCTAATGTATGTAGTAGCTTCTGTTTTGAATAACATGAAAACTGAACCATCTCTGCAGAACCACAAAGCTCATCTTCGGGAATACCTTGTAAATCAGTCTTTCGTGCTTCCTGTGAGCACGCTGGATGAAGTTAGCCAGGTGGTGATGGTTATTGCCAAATTAACTCAGAAAACCTCTGAATTCACTCGAGTCGCTCAGAAGCGTGCCACAGAGAGGATATGGCAGGCGAACCAAGCCCTGCAGGAGTATCAACAAAAAGACAAACGCTTTCGCTCTGAACAAATAGAAATCGTGAGCACCGGGATCTTAATGAGTTTGTCTAATATCCTCAAACTGACCAGTCCTTACGATGTGTTCGAAGATCCTTTCCATGTAGTGGAATCTCTCTCAGACACAATACTGGCTAAGAAAATACCAGGGAGTGAAACCACGGTGCTGAGGACCTCCAACTTTAACATGTATGTGCAGAAAGTTGAAAAGCAGAATGTGAACCAGGCCTTCAGAAATGAGAAACTGTGCCCAAATTGTCTCCATGCAACACTGAATGTGAGCAGGGTTCCCAGCCTGCCTGCGAAGGCTCCAGTGTCTCTGATGTTTTGTGAGTTTGCAGACAACCCCTTTCCTTGGTTAAGTTATCCGGAAAACACTTCCACAGAGGTGGTTGGGTTCAGAATGAGTGGAGCCATGGAGAATGGTAGTGTGGTAGAGATCACACCCGATGTAGCAGAAGTGTACTTCGTCAGAAAAAACCCGACCTTTACTACTTTCAATCTCACCGTGGGACCCAGCAATGAGGTTGGTGGGTCCTCAAAGAAGACAGCGGGGGGCGTTAGCTTTGAGGTAGACAGCAGTGCAGTGAGGGAGGTGCTGGTCCACATTGTGACAGAAGTGACCGTGTTGTTCCAGGTGCTGGTGTATGCAGGCAGTAGGGTCACTCCCTCGGATCTGATAGCCACTTTCCTTGTGCCTCAAGATGTCCCTCCAGTTGTCAACCAGACTGGCCTGTTTGACCCCGCCTGTGCAGTTAGGGAGGCCCGCGTGGTTTGTCTGCCATCATCCCTGCTGCAGATCATAGCTCAGCGTGGCCACTCACTGAGGTGCACCATATCCGTGATTCTGCAGGCACCTCGTTTTGTCCTGGAGCCCAGTGACAAGTTAGTGAGACTTTCTCTCTTCACTGTTCACTGCTTGGACATGTACGGGATCCAGAATGATTGGAGAGAGGACACCTGTGTACTAGGTGAGAAGACCACCTGGGACAAAGTGCACTGTGTCTGCAGCAACATAGTGAGGCACAGGCAGCAGCTGAGCTCAATCAGACTGGCCTACCTTCACCTGCACACTCACTTTGTGACCGCCAAGGTCATTGTGATCCCGAACCCTGTGGATCTGCAGTTAAAGGTCATCCAGAACCTTAACCAAAACCCCGTGACCCTCTTGGCTGTGCTTTTCATTATGTTCATCTACATGGTTCTAGCTTTCTGGGCCTTGCACAGGGATGAAATGGACCAATTTCTTCGGGACCGTGTGATAATTCTACCTGATAATGATCCTTATGATAACATATGCTACCTGGTCACCATCTTTACAGGGAGTCGCTGGGGGTCTGGTACCAGGGCCGATGTCTTTGTCCAACTTAGGGGAACAGAGAATACCAGCGAAGTGCATTGTTTAAGCCATCCACATTTTACAACTCTATACCGAGGAAGCATCAACACTTTCCTCCTAACAACAAAAAGTGACTTGGGTGACATCCATTCCATTCGAGTGTGGCACAACAATGAGGGCAGAGCACCTAGCTGGTATTTAAGTCGAATCAAAGTGGAAAATCTGTTTAGCAGAAACATTTGGCTGTTTGTGTGTCGGATGTGGCTTTCGGTTGATACCACTTTGGGCAGAACGTTTCGTGTTATCCACCCAGACGAGCCTCTGAGGAGAAAGGACTTCTTCCTGATAGACATGTGTGATAAGTTAGGGAAAAACCACATGTGGTTCTCTGTTTTTTCTGGGGGTGTTCCTAAGTCATTCAATAGGCTCCAAAGACTGTCTTGTTGCTTAGCAGTGTTGCTAAGCTCTCTTGTTTGTAATATTATGTTCTTTAATGTGAACAGACAAGAACAAACTATGTCAAGAGAGGGGCGCTACATCAGATCAATGATGATAGGGATTGAAAGTGTCTTAATTACAATCCCTGTGCAATTATTAATAACATTTTTCTTCACCTGCTCCCAGAAGAGATCTCAAGTGAGTCTAGATGAGGTAGTTCCTCAGAAGCACCCCCTCATGTCAGAAGAAAATGGGCACTGGGAAGACCGTTTGGGCAGGTGGCATGCTTGTGAATCTGCCAAGGAAGCTGCAAAGCCCACCTCAAAGAAGAAGCCTGAACTTCCAGAGCATTCTCTCCAGCAGACCTCCACAACACCACACCAGAGTAAGAAAGCCAAGAAAAACCCAAAAACCCTGAAGAAAAACACAAATTTCAATAACAGTAATGTAGAAGGCAATCAAGATGCTTCTTCAAGAAGGTCCTCTACCCAAATGGATTCTGAGCACTTTAAAAAGAAGCCCTGGCTCGTCCTGCCTTGGTGGTGTGTTTATATAGCGTGGTTCTTAGTGTTTACCACTTCCGGCATATCATCATTCTTTATTGTATTTTATGGCCTGACTTATGGCTATGACAAGTCAGTAGAATGGCTCTTTGCATCTGTCTGTTCATTCTGTCAGTCAGTTTTTCTGGTGCAGCCATCTAAGATTGCACTCTTGTCAGGCGTCAGGACAAATAAGCCCAAGTACTGTAAAAACCTCTCATGGTCGAGCAAGTACCATTATACAGAGATTAGGATGCACCAGGTGAAGATGCGCCCGGAGGAAAGAGAGCAGCTCCATCAGCAAATCATCCGCATTCGAGGCTCACGCATGTACCAGCCCCTCTCGGGGGATGAGATCAGAATATTCCAACGCAAGAAGAGGATCGGGAGAAGAGCCCTCCTGTTTCTGAGCTACATTCTGACTCATTTCATCTTCCTGGCCCTTCTCTTGCTCCTCATCATCCTGCTGCACCACAATGACAGCTTCTACTACAACCAGTTCATTGGCGATCAGTTCTCAGTGGGTCTGTCAGCCGTGAGGAAGTTGGAAGACATCTATAGGTGGCTCAACAGTGTGCTCTTGCCTTTGATCCACAATGACCTGAAGCCCACATTTCTTCTTGACAGCTCTTCTAAAATTCTTGGCCTTCCACTCATGAGGCAAGTGAGAGCCAAATCTAGAAAAAAAAAATGTCTGCCTGCCAAAAACTTTGTGCAAAACAACACTGCAGGAGAAATTTATTGTCATCCCAAGTATGGCACTGACCCAGAAGACACAGAAAACTATTCTAGCTTTTGGAAAAGGGGTGGTATGCTGCCCACAGACAACAATACCAGTGGGTTTGTTTATAAGCCTCCAGGGAAAGAATGGGTATATTATACCTATGGAGTGTTACACACCTACGGGTCAGGAGGGTATGCATTCTATTTTTTTCCTGAACGGCAGCAGTTTAATTCCACACTGAGGCTTAAGGGACTCCAAGGAAGCAGTTGGCTTGATGAGAAGACATGGGCTGTGATTCTGGAACTAACCACATTTAATCCAGATGCCAATCTGTTCTGTAGCATTTCGGTTGTGTTTGAGGTCTCTCAGTTAGGGACCATCAACGCGAGCGTCTCAGTGCACTCTTTCTCACTTGCTGATTTTAACCGGGAAACGTCAGCAGAAATCTACCTGTATGTGGCCATTCTCATTTTTTTTCTAGCCTACATTGTTGATGAGGGCTATATCATCACACAAGAAAGAGCATCCTATGTGAGAAGCGTGTACAATCTGCTCAACTTTGCTTTGAAATGCATATTCACCATGTTGATTGCACTCTTTTTCAAGAAGCATGTCTTGGCTACTGGCATAATTCAATTCTACCTGTCGGACCCTGTAAACTTCATTCCCTTTCATGCAGTTTCCCAAGTAGACCATATCCTGAGGATAATTTTGGCTTTCCTGCTATTTCTGACCATTTTGAAGACACTCAGGTATTCCAGATTCTTCTACGATGTGCGCCTGGCACAGAAAGCCATCCAGGCTGCCCTTCCTGGCATTTGCCACATGGCCATTGTGGTGTCTGTGTATTTCTTTGCATATATGGCTTTTGGTTACCTGGTATTTGGTCAGCATGAATGGAATTATAGTAGCTTGGTTCATGCCACTCAGACGATATTCTCTTACTGTGTCTCAGCTTTTCAGAACACTGAGTTTTCCAGTCACAGGGTCCTGGGGGTCCTTTTCCTCTTGTCTTTCATGCTGGTGATGATTTGCATCTTGATCAACCTGTTTCAGGCAGTGATCTTGTCTGCCTATGAGGAGATGAAGCAGCCTGTGTACGAGGAGCCATCCGATGAGGTAGAAGCAATAACCTACTTGTGTAGCAAGCTACGAACTATGTTTAGCTTTCTGACCTCCCCTTCTAGGGAGGACAGGAAGGACAGTGATGAGCCTGACTTCTTTGATGAAATGCTATATGGGCAGCCAGAGAAGAACAGTCACCGGTACCTGGGGCTGAAGACCAGAAACATCAATGGGAAGAAAATGGTTTACCTTGTTGTTTGACCAGTGAGGGTTTCAAGAGCAATGAGCAAAAGTGTCCCCAAATATGATTAAGGAATGTCTAGTGGCTCAGTCTTGCACACCTCCACATTTGGAAGTATCCTCACTCTGTGTCCTGCTCACAGAACATGAAAGTAAGAGTAGAGTGGAGTGTTAGGGAAAAGGAGGATTAGGATATGGGAATCAACTGCCTACCTCTAGATGAAAATTATACAGACGAACAGCCTCCCACCCCCGTTTGGGGGCAGCCCTCCTTTCCTGGGAGCCTGCACATGTGGAGCAGTGAGAGAACCATTTTTGAGGAAAGCAGATAACCAGGCCCTATTCTGGAACTGGCCAGGACTGAGCAGAGCCCCAGACTCCTCCTCCTTCTGAAGGAGTCCCCTTTGCAGACCAGGGTTGTGAAGCCTCGCCTCCCAATTCCTTCCTGGCTAGGGTTGAAGAGTTCCAGGACTTGGTTTTGAGCTTGAGAATGCAGGGATGGGAGACTGGGACCAGAAATCTGAAGCTTCTCACTTATTCCCTCAGGCTGCTGCTGTGCACGCAACTCTTTAATAACATATCCCAACAAAGAGACATAGCTTTTGTTAACAAAAAGATGCACATGGGTTCACATGGAACTACATTACACATTGAAAACAGCAATACATGCATCCAGGACTTAGGCATGGTGGGTTGTTTGGGAGTAAGTAAAATGGCTTATTGTTAAAGAAAACAAGAGCGAGGTGCTGTTGTATTTTCACTAAGAAGCATGTTCATTTATGCCACTTTAACATTTATCACAATTAAATGTAAGATTTCTTTGGTGAAGTGTGCAGCGATTTCTTCGTATAGGGCAGACACACAGTAAATGCCCTCAAAACCAGGAGCCAGAAAAGGGGGACAACCAAATTAGGTGGTGGCTGCTCTGTACTCAAGTTAGTGCCTGGTTCCCCAGCTGCACCGGACTGGCCGTAGCATGCTGTGCTCCTGCAGGCACGTGCACACACTTTCCATCCTTTCTCCTAGAGAACCCAGCAGGGTTAGTCTCTGCCAGGTAAGAAAATGAAGAGGACAATGACTCACCCAAGGCCACTCACAAGGTTAGAGTGTTAGAGGTCAGATTCCTCTGGTGGGAGGTCATGGGGGTAGCTCAGCCTCTCCTGGCTTGCTGTCACACCTGGAACCCATGTTTGTTCATCAGGTAGCACCTCTCTTAACTTTTGAACAGATTGAGAAAAGGTAAACAAGGGGCCAAATGATTACTTTCTATTGGTAGAGGCTGGCTGTAGTCTGGTCAAATGCACTTGCCCATTGAACTTCAGACTGCAGGGGTGGAGGAAGGGTAAGTCTTGGCTCCAGGTAGCTGCCCTTAGAGGTGGTGGAGACTGTTGGCTAGCAGGGGAGGCAGAGACTTATGTGCTCTGTGGGAGGATATGCCAGGCATTCTTCCCCAAATTTAGTGATCTGCCTCTCCCCAGGTGTGAGGCCTGTTCAGGGTGACACTGGCTGGCCTACCTTCCCTGAGATAAGTACCAGGGGCAGGTGTCACGGGGCCTGAGTGGGCAGCCCACCTGAGAGGCTCCAGGGTCTCCCTGGGGACCAGTTGATGAGAGAGTCCACAACAGAGGGCCTGGGAGCTCACACCAGAGGTGGTCTGAGCCAGGACCTAGACAGCAGCCATGTGGATTGACACAAGCTCTTGACTTCTTGGTGAAAACTGGAACTACAGCAGAGTTTTTCACACTCCTGTTGAGAAAGAATTTTGAGTCTCAGGGTTTTCTTCTAATTGGACAGAGCAATGACAAACAGTTGTACAGTTCAAAAACATAGAGATGCCAATTGTAACATTATCAGGGAGAGAGGGAATCAAGAAATACAAATCAAAATGCAGGCTTTTTTGAAGGTTGTTTCTGCAGGATGTGGCAACAATTTCTGCAGGAATCTTTTGAGACGCCTTTGTTCTCAATGTCCTTCCAGGACAGCTGGCTGCAGTCAGGACTACCCTCCCAGCTTTCATTATTGGACAGGAAACAAGACAGATATTTAGTCTCAATTTAGCCCATTCTTAACTCAGAATAGCCAACGAGCTTTACGTGTAGAAAGCTCCCTCGGTAGCTACAGGGAGGAGGGGACATATCCATGTATTTCTAACTTTTTTGTTAACTGGGAAGACTTACATTTTAAGGTCCACTTCTAAAATTTCATTACTTAGCACAAAAAGAAAAATGAAGGCTTTTAGACCTCAGCGTTATTTGCAAAACGGAGGATGGGATGAACAGCATCATACTCAAGAATGAAATGAGATGCGTAACGGATCCCGCTTCTCCAGGATTCCTTGCTATCATGGTGGATCTTAAATGTCCCCGAAGGCCAGTGTTAAAGGCATGGTCCCTAGGGTGGTGCTACTGGGAGGTGGTGGAACCTTTCAGAGATGGTAGGGGCATTAGGACTTTAGGGGGTGTACACTTGAAGAGGATAATGGGCCTACCCTTTCTCTTCCCCTTTTGCTCCAGACATGAGGTGAATGGTTTTATTCTGCCATCCACCATGTTGTGTTGCCTTGCCCAAAGCAAAGAGACCAATTCATCATGAGTCTCTAAAATAACGAGCCAAAACAAACCATTTTCTTTTTATAAGTTTTCTCTTCATACAGTATTGGTTGTAATAAAGTTAACACACCCTCTTTTGCTGTTATTAGCAATACTTTAATTATAATCCATATTCAATCCAACACTCAGAGTTCCTGTCTCGGTCTTAAATATGCAATGCACAATATTTATTCAGCATTTCAATAATCTTTAAGACCCAATTTTATAAGTATTCCCATAACATTTAGGCAATTATTTTTCCCAGAAATCCCACCCCTAACATTTGTGGGGCAAAGGCAAGAGTATAAATTTCTGCATATATAAATATTCCAAAGTTATGACATGCTTACAAGCTGTTGCATAAAATGTTATGACCATACCTTGATAAATACACCATCAGAAGGACAAAATAAGAAGCTATGTGTCTAGCTATGGTTTCTATATAGCTGAAAACTGGCAAAATACCCAAAGTAGCTGAATTTCTTCTTATTGTGACCGCTGGATGTTCTATTGATGGGTTACTAATACTTGGATGAGTACCAAAAGACATATGTAAACTGTAAATTATGCATCTATTCCATAAATTTCATTTTTCTTGCCTTCATTTCAGAAAAACTGTGCTGATTATTTTCATATAATTGTCTTTTATTGACAACAGTGCCAAGTTGGAAACTTTTTCTGAGTATTATGCTTTGTAGGTATGCTTAACTATTTCATTTAGGGGAAGCCAGTCTGCTGAGGGAATAGCAACCGGAATTACAAATGACTCTTAAAACTTTAGATTCAGAATTGAACCACAAATGATATGTTAAGCACTGCTAGGAAGGTGCATAGGAAAACTTATGATGCAGAAAATATTACAAAATGTTTTTCATTGTATAAAATGTTATCATTTTGCTATTAGCACCATTTCAAGCCAGTCTGCTGAGGGAATAGCAACCGGAATTACAAATGACTCTTAAAACTTTAGATTCAGAATTGAACCACAAATGATATGTTAAACACTGCTAGGAAGGTGCATAAGAAAACTTATCGTTTTTCATTGTATAAAATGTTCTCATTTTGCTATTAGCACCATTTCAAGTGTTTTGTTTTTTTTTGTGGTACTGGAGCTTGACCTCAGGGCCTACACCTTGAGCCATTCCACCAACCCTTTTCATGTTAGGTATTTTCAAGGTAGGGTCTTATGAACTATTTTCTGACTTTGAACCTTGATCCTCCTGATCTCTGCCTCCTGAGTAGCTAGGATTACAGGCGTGAGCCACCAGTGCCTGGCTCTTACAAGTATTTTAAGTTTTTCTGCTTTTACACTTTTCAGTGCTGAGATATTATTTTAAAAACCTGAAAGCTGCTGTAGGTTGCTCATATGCAGAATAGACTATACCTTGGCTACAGTGGTGATAATTTGTCTCTATAGCAATTTTGTTCCAGGACTGTTTGTTCATGAATCTTCAGATTCCAGAAAATGTTTCTGTTTCCTAGTTTTAATTCCTTACATCCTTACATTGTATTCCAAGGTCACTTTAATACTTTTTTTTTTGGTGGTACTGGGGTTTAAACTCAGGGCCTCACTCTTGTTAGGCAGGTGCTCTACAACTTGAGCCACTTCTCCAGCCCCTTATGCTTATTTTACATGCAGTTTCCTTTGGGAAACCATTTTTGTCTAAAACTTTATGAAGTATTTTCAATCCTTTTGGATTTTTGACAAGCTTTTTCTAATAACTGGGGACAGCTCAATGTTAAAATTAGCTACTTGTTCTGCCAGACCAGGGTCTGCTATTTAAGTATTATTATTTCACTTACCTGTTACAGTGTATGGATAACTTGTCTAAATTCAGTTGAATTGTTTTAGCATTTGTGAGATTACCATTATGTATCTCAGAATGGTTATAGGTCAAATTTGAAATGCTTCATCAAGATGTTCCACCTTTAGGCAGATCTGGAAAATAAAAGCAAAGCATTATTTTTGAATCTAGCATATAATCTTTGAATTGATCCAAAGAATATCATTGTTGTAAGCACAGCTGATGTCATCTTTACCAGTAATGAAATCAAACTACTTGCTAATCCTGCCCAGGTCTAAGAGTGGTTCTAGTGTCTGGTATTGTTAAAATGCATTCTGGAATCCTCTCTTCTCAATTCCAGGAAAGAGGAAGTCCCAGAGCCCAGTCTGATGCAACTTGGCAACTTTAAATGTGTCTTAGCAAATCAAAGGTAAGTTTTAGTCTATAAGGAACAGAGAGACACAGCACCTATTGGCAATGACTGTGCACAGGCTTCATGGGACTTGGGAAAGGGTATAGGGGACCCCATAAACAGCAGTGTGTGGAAGACTGGGGCAGGATGGGAGACTGCAGGCTGGTGATACAGGCTAGCAAGGAAGAATGCTGTTGTGAGGTTGGTCTTCTCTCTGGTTAGCTAAATCCCTAAAACCCTTTAATTGTTAGGAAAGGAGGGCGCAAACCCTGCCACCCCCAAGGCACAGGTGAAGCCCCACCTGCGATTGAGGAGAGTCTCCAGCTGGCCAGGAGTAGAGCCCACAGGCCAAGCCTGGCTCGCTGGTTTCAGAATCCGGGCCCCTGACCCCACAGATTGGTGCCTTATATACACAGGAGGCGAGCATTTCACAGTTAGGGAACAGTGTCCCGGGCACCAGAAACAGGGGAACGCAAGAAGTTGCTGTGGCTGGTGCCGGGTGCAAGTGGAGAGGCCCCCGGAGGTTGAAAAGAGGGCGAGGCACTGACCGCCAGGGATTTCGCAGGCTACTCTGAGGCTCTGGAGTAGCACTGTGACCTCCCAGTTTTGTAAAGGTCGCACGGCACAAGTGGGCTTCAGGGGGACACAGACGCCTCCTGCGTGCGGGGCCGACGATGTGTTGGGGGAGATGAGGTCCGGGCGTCTTACCCGTAAGGGTGCGTGAAAAGGGACTGAAGTGAGTCAAGCTGCACCCCTGCCGTACCCCTCCCATCCCACACCCAAAGGGCCCCGCGCCAGCGACCTCGACTCTGCAGAACCCTGGGAGAAGAGGAGCGCCTCCTGGCGACCATAAGTGTAGGCCAAGTTAGCTGGCTCTGGCCCAGAGAGACCCGCACGCGGCGCTTCTCAGCCCACGGATCCCCACAAAAGCATGGATGCCTGCTGCGTTCTGAAGCCTGTGTACCTCACCGACCGGAAGCGGGAGACACACGCGAAACCCCGCCCCCCCCGAGAAGGCTGCGCATGCGCCCGGGGCTGGCCGGCCCTCCGGGGGGCGGGGCTGCGCATGCGCCGTGGGACTCGGATACGCGCGTCGGCAGCTGATGGTGAGTGGGTGGTGAGTGCGCGCGGCGTGTGCTACGGGAGCGAGCGCGTCGACTGCGGGCCCAGCGCCCTTTTGGCGCCAGTGGCTCCCGGCGCCCGTGGCTCCCAGCGTCCGGCTGTGCGCAGCCTGGAGGCCTGAGGGCTGCGAGCGTGCTGTGTTCGGGACCCAACGCTGGACGCAGGGCGGGCCGCTCGGGTTGGCGAGCCGGGGCCCAGGGTGTCGGTAGCTGGGCGGAGCCCTGCTCACCCGAGAGGTGGCAGGGTGGGAGGGTGCGGTGCCAGGCAGGGGACGGCCAGTGCGCGGGTCCGAGCGAAGAGCCGAGGCCGCGGCGAGGACCTCGGTCGCGCCAATCAAGTTGGGAAGCTGAATGGGTTTCTGTCACATCCCAAATAGCATTTTCATTTTTAAAAGTCACTCGGAACCCGCGCAAGGCTTGCACGGGGGCTGCCCTAGGCCAAAGCTCATACCGCCGGCTTACGGCACACCCCCGTGCGCGGAGGAGGGCACAGCCGGTAGCCAGGGGCCCGAACTCGGAAAGACCCGCCGAAATTAGGAGACAAAGCTGGATAAACATCAGTGTTGCTGAACCCATTAGACAGCTGCGGTCGCAGGGGGACCACTTAACCAGAAATCCCAGGAAAGAGGGGGCCTCGGGCCCCGCGGAGAGCCTGGGAGGAGTATTACTACAAGTTTTAATGAAGTGCTGTATACCACGTATACCAGGTGGCCCGCGGGGAAGGAATAGGGACCCTGGGAGCCCCAGGAACAAAGGAGCTTGCACCCACTCTGGGCTCTTCGCCAGCGTGCCCTGTGTGCTGCACGAGGGAAAGACTGGGAGCAGAGCAAGAGGCAGAAAGCTTACCTGGTGGTGCGGACCTGGAGGAGGAGGGGGCTGCTGCTCAGGTGCCCGGATCCTTTTTCCTAATGGAATAAAAACCTTAGACCGCTGGGGGAGGGGCAGCAAATAATGCCCTCTGGGCAGTGTTAAAAGGGAACCCTGGGGTAGGGAGGCAGGAACCTGTTCTGAGATCTTTAGGCATCTCCTGTGCTGGGAAGAAGGCCAAATTCCCAACAAGACTTGAGATCCAGGGACCTGGGACCTGTCTAAACCTGCAGCTGGTTGGGGCAAATAGGACACCCAACACCACTATGCACGCTGGCACTGAATAACAGACTAAAGCCAAGGGTGGAGCAGATTTTGAGAAAAAACACTGGACAAATCTCACTTCTAAGCATGGGTAATGCTAAAGAAATTTGAAGCCATAGATGCCCGAGGATAACAATGCCAAGTAGCAAACCCAAACCAACCTCGGCTACTGTCTAGATTGGTTCCGTACCCCACGCTGTGAGCCCTGGCAGGCATGCCTGTCCATGCTCAAACTGGTTGATCACCTCTACCACCTTGGGAAGGAAGTTCAGCTTTCAATGAAAGTTGAGACACAAAAAACAGAAACAGAAAACCCACTGCAAGAACCAGAACAATCAGGAATCGGCTCAAGTGGGGATTTTGAAACAAGCATGATTAGTGTATTAAGGGCGCTAGTGAGAAAGATGTATAACATGCATAAGCATGGAGATTTCAGCAGAGAAGGAGATAGTGGAAATGCTAGTGAGAACCAGCAGAGGTGCAGAATGCCTTCAGGGCACATGGAGGGGAAAAAAAAAATGTGAACTTGAAGATAGGTCTGTAGAAATTACCCAGACTGAGCCACAAAGTATCCCAGAACTGTAGGACTGTATCAAATGGTGTAACAGCATATTTTTAGTTGGAATCTCATCAGAAAAGAAAAAATATTTGAACTTCCCCAAAACTGTGGAAGCTATCAAAGAATTTGCTAAGGGCTGGGGATGTAACTCAGTGAAATACCACTTGCCTAACATGCACAAGGGTTAGATCCCCCCCCCAATTTTTTGATTAAAGAAGCACCATCAGAATAAATAATTTTAAAAGAAAACAGCATCCAGAGAAAAGGGCTGAAAAATAGGTAAGATCTTTAGGGCAGTGAGAGCAATATCCCAGAGGCAGAGGTGAGGGGACAGCCTTGTAGATGGAAGGATTAGAAGGAGCAGAGACTAGGAGGTGAGAAGTGCAGGGATGGTCTGCAGGGTGGGAAGTGAGCCCCTGAAATGTAGCCTCACAAGGAAAAAGGTGGTGCCTACACAATGGGGGCATGGGAGGGATTTCACCCTGTGGTCAGTTGGGGAACTACTTAGGTTTGACCTGGGAAAGCTGGGCTCACTGAGCACCTCCGTAGCCTCCAGTTTTGCAAAATTCTGTTGAATTTTGTCATGCTTTTTTGACATCTACTGAAATGACTTTATGTTTTTTTCCTTGATTCTGTTACTGTCATGAATTGTATTCAGTGGTTTTCGAACGTTGGACCAACTTTGTATTGCCAAGGTAAATCTAGTCAGTCACATGTGAGTCCTCTTAGATGTTACTGAATTCAGTTAGCCAATATTTTGTTAAAGATCTTTGTATTTACATCCATGAGGGTATGGGTCTGTAGTTCTCCTGCAGTAGCTTTGTTTGGTTAATGGTTTTGGGCAACACTGGCAGCATGGTGTCCACAGAATACTGACCTCGTAAAATCCTGGGGAATGTCCTTGCCCTTAAGCGTTGGAAGACTGAACAGGATCTATATGATTAAGAGCATGACAGCATTTGCCAGAAAATCTCTCTACGAATGAAGATTTTTTTTTTCTTAAATTCATTTATTTCATTTCTGGGGAAAGTTTTAATTGGGAATTTAATTTTCTTGGTAGATGTGGGACCATACAGGTTTCTTGATTAAGTCACTTTTGATAGTTGGTGTTTTTCAAGAGATCTGTCTTTCATTTGTTGGTTATCAGTTGTTCATGCATCCCTTTATCCACTAGTGTCTCCAGTCTTAGCGATGCTTCCTCAGTTCCTGAGAGGAGTCATTTGTATCTTCATTCCTTTTTTCTTGATCAGTTGTGTTAAAGGTTCTTACTTTTATTGAACTTTCAGAATAGCTCATTTGCTTGTTTGTTTTCTGTATTTGAGGCTTTGCACTTGTTAGGCAAGTCCTCTACCACTTGAGCCACACCTCTTTTGTTTTTATTTTGTTTATGAGATTGGGTCTGGATAACCTTATCAGGGCCTTGAACTTGAGACCCTCCTGCCTCTGCCTGGAGAGTTGCTGGGATTACAGGAATGCACCACTACACCCAGTCTGGCACCTTTGATGTTATTGATATTTTTTCTATTTTTTGATATGTTTTTATTTATTTATTTATTTTTACTGGGATTTTTGAACTTAGGGCCTTGCGTAGGTATTTTACCGCTTGAACCACACCCCTGGCCCTTTTTTGCTTTTTAATTACTTTTCGGATAGGATTTCATGTTTTTGCCTGGAGCTGGCCTCAGACCATAGTCTCCTAACTATGGCCTCTCATGTAGCTGGAATAACAGGCATACACCACCATACCAAGCTTATTTATTGAGACGGTCTCTCTAACTGTTCATGCTAGTCTTGAACTGTGATCTTCCCAATTTCTGCCTCTCAAGTAGCTAGGATTATAAATATGAACCACAGTGCCTGGCCTGTTTTGTTTTGGTCTTTTTAAATTATTTTTTCTACATATGTTAGGTATAATTTGCTTTTTTCTAGCTTCTTAAGAAATTAACACTTACATGAATGATTTTAAGCATTCTTTCCTAATGTAAACATTTAAAGATAGAAATTTCCCTCTAAGCTCCACTTAAGCCACATTCTGTACATTTTGATATGTGTAGTTTTAGTTTTTGTTTAGTTCAAAATATTTTCTAATTTATAACTTTTTCTTTGAACTATGTTTTTTCAGAAACACAGTGTTTCATTTTCAAGTATCTAAAGGATTTCTAGGTATCTTTCTGCTACTGATTTCTGATTTTATTACTTTGGGGTAAAAGCACACCTTATAATTTCACTCTTTTAAAGCCAAGCATGAGGTCCATCTCACGTGCACTTGAAAATCCTGGGACTTTGGGCAGGTCTCTCAGTTGCTCAAATGTGAGGTTCCTTGTCTATAAGGGGACTTGCGTTGGGTGAGAAGTGTGTAGTGGCTGCGGAGGCTTCATGATGGTGGTGGCTCTTGGTTCTGATGTGCCCTGTCTCTTGACCTTGCAGATGGCGTCTGAGGCAGATTGCCGTCCCCTGGGTGTGTTTGAGTGCCAGCTCTGTGCCTTGACAGCACCATACAGCTATGTGGGGCAGAAGCCGCCCAACACCCAGTCTGTTGTGTGAGTATACACTTCGGGCCATTGCTAGGGAAGGCCTTGCTGAGGGCTGTTTGGCAGGCGGAGTCTCACACCAGGCTTAGGTATTGTGCTTAGGCCTGGCCCCTGCCCAGCCTCTGAATGCTCCAGGTGACTTGAAGAGGCCCTGGGCAAGGCCTGAGAGCTGCCTGATTCTTTAGGACCTCCAGCGCCTCCTTTAGGTACAGTCCAGAGTTCAACACCTGCTGCAGCTATGGGGTAGAAGTGAAGTGGCCTGGGATGGAACCACCTAGCACTGGGGAGCAGAGAAACCATGGTGGCCTCTTCATTTGAGGTTGGCCCTGTTGCCATCTTTGCAAGTGACTTTCTGGTGGGATCCCCATCTTCCTTGTGTCCTGCATAGTGGGAGTGATACCTAAGGAGAGCTTCTCTGGTCTGCCTAGAGCAGGCGGGTGTGGAGATGGTCCTGGGCTTATTTCTTGGCCTCTAGCTCATCCTTTATCAAATGCCACATGTGGGGAAGCTGACCATTGCAGTACTGACAAGGGACACAGTGGCAGGGACTGGTCTCCACCTGACTTCGGTCTCTTTGCTGTCAAGGTGCCAAGGAGGGTTTTGCTCTCTCTCTACTGACATTGAACTGAGGCCATGTCAGATTTTGAGTCCCACCTGGCCGCAGGTGCTGGCTTTTCTGCCACTACCCTGTGGCACAGGTGGTCTTGTTCCTCCCCTGCTGAGTCTAGGCAGGTGTGCAGGCCCCAGGGATGTCCTGCTGCCACTGCTGTGCAGTCAGCACCATGGCCACAGCCAGTGCCATCAGCAGACCTGTGGCCTTCCCTACAGCCTCCTGGAGGAGAGCTACATCATGAAGGACCCCTTCACCTCGGATAAGGGCCGGTTCCTGGTTCTTGGTGCGCGGTGCAGCGTGTGCAGCAAGCTGGTGTGTGTGGGCCCGGTGCGTATGACGCTCAGCCCAGCTGGGCTGCCTGTCCTTGCCTAGGGATTGGGAGCCTCCAGTTACTGGGTGAGGAGAGGGCAGCAGTGCACACAAGGTCGCTCCAGGGTCAGGCTGATGAGGTAAAATATGGGGAGGGATTGAAGCAGCTGGGAAGTTAGGAATGGAAAGGTGGGAGGGGCCAGTGGTGCTGTCTACCAGCAGCCCTGAACACTACGTCTTGGGATTGAGATGCCCTTAGTGAGCAGAGGGGATGGCCACACGAACATGAGAGCATCAGAAACCCCTGCTTGGAGTAAAGGGCAGATTGTTAGCGAGCGAGTCTCCATGGCAGTTTGCTTCTAGGAACTACAGGAAGGACAATCTTCTATTAGTTTACACATGGACACAGACCCCCACAATATTGAGGCTTAAATAAGATGTAGTTATTGACCTATTTTCTTCTATAGAAGAGTCTGTAACAGGCAGTCCTGGCTATGACTAGGGGTTCACCACTGCCATCCTCAATACACCATATCCACATGGGCCCACCGATGGTTGTTGCAGCTACCACCATCACATCTACATCCCACCCAGCACAAAGGAACCGGGGAGCACATCCTTATTCCTTTGAGGGAGTGTGACCAGGAAGTGGCTGCCAGTGACACCCCTAACCTAACTTAGTCACATGGCCATTCCAGTTGCAAAGGGGCCCGGGCAGCTGTGTTAGTGTTGAAGGCTATAAAGGAGAATGGGCACAGTTGGACAGTTCTTGTCGCCTGCCTATACCAGGCACTCGTCCATGGCCTCTTTGGTCTGTGGGGCTGTCTCTCCTATCTCTGGATGTTCTTGGCACCAGGCAGGTGCCAGGAACCATGACTCTGTCCCTCTGTGATAAGCCGCAGCAGGAGAATTCAGGGGTTTCTAACTTTGGGTGTGGCCTGGGCTAGAGCTTCCCATCGTTGTTGCTTCACTTTGTGGAGGGGCAGAGCCAGGCCTGGAGACCCTTTCTTGTCCCAGCTGTTCCCTCCCTGGGGAGCCAGGCCTTCATTGCCCATTTTCTGGACATCCTGATAGCCCTTAGGCCCTTGTTCCTCTTGCTAGTCTGGCTACCCTGTGCCTTTTGAGAGCCCTGGCCAGCCTTCCACGTGTGGTAGAAGGGGTCCCAGGAGAGGCCATGCCATGTCCCTGGGGAACCAGCTCCTTTTCCTCCTTTCAGGAATGCAGCTTATTCTACTCCAGGAGATTCTGCCTCCCTTGTGTCCAGGAGAACATTGGTGATTTCCCTCAGGAAATTCAGCGAGACATGGCAACAAGGACAGCTGCCTCCAAGAGGCCCTCCAGCCAGCCCTGACTGTGGACCTGAGTACAGCTCCCTGCCCAGTAGGGATGGTGCCCAGCTGGGAGCTGCATGCCTGGGCTTTCCCTGCACCACTGCGAGCAGCACGTATAGCCTGGAAGGCTGGGGGAACCGACTGAGAGGAGGCCCCAAGGCCAGACCACTCAGCTGGAGCTCCAGAGCTGCTCTCAGGGCAAAGACCTGGAGTAAGGGAGGGGAAGCCTCCTTCAAGTTCACATCAGAAGAGCCCTAGCTGTTCTTGGTGGGCGGCGTGGCACAGGGCCATCCTGTCTTCTGTGCCCGGTCTAGGAAATCAGCTTCAGAGGCTGCCTCGGAAGCCAATGGCAGGGCTGGAGGTGAGAGAAGTCTTTAATTCACACCCTGCGTGATGCCCAGAAAATGTTTTAAATCCTGACCTTGTATTGTATTTATGACTAAGAACCCAAAGAACCAGCTATGTTCGCAAAGTAATCCTTCCACTGAGACACTGAAGACCCAGCATTCCTACAGTCATTGTGAGCCAGGCAATGGGTGGGGACATTCTTGCAGATGCTCTGGGACAGACAGCAGGTAGGGACATTTCCATGGACCTCCTGGGCCAGGCCTGGAAGCTAGGAGTAGGTGTCCAGCGTTTTCAGCTACTCTGCCTGGTCCCAGATCAGGCCCCATTCCCTTCTCTGCATCCCCAAGTCAGGATGTGGGGTGGTGGAGGGGCTTCCTTCACTCACACTCCTTTGCCATCTGAAAGTCACTTTTTGGTGCTGTGAAGCCCACCCTACAGCCTGCTGGGTGTTCCATGATACCCTGTCCCCTGGTCCCGGGTAGGCCACCATGTGTTTGCTTAGAGTTGGCAGAGCTGGAGCTTTCTCTGTCTTCCTTTGTAGTCATTTTGAGATGTGACTGGATAAAGAGCTTCTGACTGATGCGTGCTTGGGGTTTTATTTTAAGATGCTTACATTTATTTATATATCTTTTGGCTGTACTGGGACTTGAATTCAGAACCTCACACTTGCTAGGCCACTTGAGCCACTCCACAAGCCCTTTTTTGTACTGAATATTTTTGAGATTTTGGCAAACCGTTTGCCCAGGCTGGCTTCAAACTTTGATCCTCTGTGATCTCTGCCTCCTGAGTAGCTAGGATGACAGGCGTGAGCTACCTGGTGCCCCACAGGTGCCCACACTTTTAAAAGCATCTTGTTTCATGTACATTAGATGCATGGATATCACATTCTGTCCATGGAAGGACAAAAAGGGACCCTTTACATGAGGGCCTGGTCAGGCGAGTGTGAAACTAAAAGCAAGACACTGGGGGGTTTTAGGGGTTGGCTGGTGCAAATCAAACAAGTTTCAGCATTACTCAGAACTCACCAAATAAGTTTTTAAAACAGTTTATTTTTTAAAACCATTAAGGCAAAACTATACCCTGAAATTAAGTCTTTACATTCATCAGTCTTACAGTAGGACATTCCAAACATGTAAGTTCCCATAAAATTCAGGATATAAATCAATACATACTGTCAGTTCAATCTCCTAATAGGAAAATGAAGACCCAAGATTTAAAAAATTAAGGTTATGTTATAGCCATTTTCTAATTGTCTGGAACCAATCAGTTAATGTGACTAGAAAAATTACCTTTGCCCTCTCTGCACATCCTGGATTCCTGAGGTCTTGGGTGCCCCCATACCTGGATAGAACTGTGAGGTCGGAAAGGACACCGGAGCCAGCTCCACAATTCCTACTTGGAACTGCTCTGTTTACATAGAAGGCAAAGGACAGAAAGTCCCCAAGTGCTTGGAGAGAATAAGGCACCTAGAACAGCGGTGAGCAGGTGGCAAGAAATCAAGCCAGTCCTTGCTCGTCCTCATGTGCCTGTGAAACCCTCCCCGCTAGGGGCTCAGCATAATGGCACTGTGGATCCCAGAGGGTGTTACAATGACACCAAGAAGAAATTTGGCTATGATACTGGAAATGACAAATGGGAGACTCGGGGGTCTGTGGCCTCTGCTGTGTGCTTTGGGTTGGGCCATCCAGAAGCTACCAGAGAGCCAGTAGGTGCAAATAATTTCCATCAGAATAGTTCAGGTTCCTAAAGTTCTTTGGTAATAATCTATCAGTAATTATTCCCTGAAGAGCAGATAGCTGTTAGCTAAACAGGAATAGGTGATGGTCTTGATCAAAACACTGTGGTATGAAGTCGGTGACCCCTAACGGGTCTAAGAAAGCCTGGGTGGCAGAAGAGAGGACAGACAGACTTACATATGAAGTATGGCAAAGGGGGTGGATTTGCACAGTGGTATAAATTGCCTGGCTCAGGAGAAATGGCCAGCTTGGGGCAGGACATACACGTGAGCAGTTGCCTGTCAGTTGTTTCTTGCACGTTCACGAGCCAGGCTTTTAACGTACGCAGCCATTAACACTGACTTCAAAGATTCCAGATGCTCGTTATTAGATGCGTGATCGGAAGTTAGTCAACTATCCGCATTAGGATATTTAAAAAGACTCATCACAGTATTTAAGGCGCAGCTATTGACACAATCCTTTTCCTACTCAGTGTAGGAAATAGTGGCACTGGACATGAATAATGCTGTTGACTCACCAGAACGGGTGCTAAGCGGCATTTGTCCATCGTGAGGTACATTTTGTTTTAGGCCTAGAAAAGCAACTGGCTGTGCCTTTAAAAGAGCGGATTTTCCAAAAGTGACAACTTTACCAGGAAGAGGCCAGCACTCACAGACCTTCAGTCTGGCCTTGTCAGACTTAAGGCAGAGTTGAAGCCTGAAAGCCCTGGGAAGGTACTTAGAGTACCTTAGGACATAGAGTGTCCCCTGCAGGCCAAGGAACTCAGACCACATGCCCCTACCCTGGCCTCACCACTCCTAGGAGGCAGGGCACGTGGTTCCTGGGCTGGCTTGTACCCCATGTGATGCTGGATCAGTTCACTGAATTTGATGTGGGCAGGGAAAGAAAGGCAAGAGAGGAGGAGGCCACTGTAGTTCTTTCTCTAGAGAGAAACCTGGAGGTTTTTCACATTTGACCCAAACTAGCAAAAAAAAAAACCAACCCAGGTCAATTTGCTATCTATGACATAAAAATCCATTTTCTCATTTCTTTTTGCAAGCAATGCATCTGACAGTCGTGGGGCCACTAAAGTGCTAGAGGCTGTTAGCTGCTTAGTGAAGACTGCTTGGTGGTCTGTTCTGGTTGGCACAGGAGGCCCAAAGTGTGGTGGGTACAGAACTCCACGTGTGGTTCACTTGGCTGGAAACTCCAGGAGGCGAGGGAGGAGGGATACGCTGCCAGACCCATGGTGGACGGTGGAGAGGACCACATCTGATCCTGAGCTTTGCACGTCTTGGCTGTGCCAAGGTTGTCCATTCTGGTCAGCACGTGAGACCAAGGCTGCTTGATCATTTTGAGGTCTCTGAGGAGCCTGGCGCTTTTGCTGTTGATAGTTGAGAAAGTGGAGACCTGGTCAGTTGGAGAGTCTTCACCCTAACTGCTGGGGAGGTGCGTCCACGCTTGTGGTCTAGAGCCCTGTGACTCTGGTATGGTGTCCATGGTGCTTTCTGCTGATGTCTCTGGACACCTAGCAAATAGTAAATACCCTCTTTCAACAGTTCCTATTTGAAATGCTACAGTATTTGGCACTGGTGCATAATTAGCCTATACTGGATTATCAATACCCTGAGAAATCTTTGATTAGGTGACCCAAAATATTCTAACATTTAGTGGTCATGAGTGACTCAATGCTTAGATAATTGGGACATGTGATTTTCCTTCCCATTAATGGAAGTGAGCAACATCAAATGACTCTGAAAATGAGGTCATGTGGCCTCCTTCCTGGTTTCCCTGGGGACATTACTGGGGATATCTCACCAGGTCCTCAGAGAACCAAGTGCAGCTCACTAACCTTGCTGAGCACTCAGATGGGCTATGAAGAATTTGACAGTCAGCTTGGCAGTTACTGTGGAAAGCATAAAATAAGGTGCTACTTGTTGTAAGTTTTATGAAAATTTAAGCAGATGCACAACTCCCCCAAAAGCCCAGGTCTGTCTAGAGTCTCGCTTTCCAAGGCAGACGCTGGCGTGGTATTGTCAAGGGTACGTCAGAGCAGGGGCTGTGTGGTCAGGGAGGCAACAGAAACATGGTGTTGGAATCCACCTCTGATCCCCAAGCTCTGGACCAGCCAGCCCTGGCATTTCCTCAGTGTCAGGAGCCCTCATTGCAGGAAGGGACATGGAAATGGATGTGCCATGTGACACAAAAGCTACTTTCTTCCTGAATGAGGATGGCTTTTGCTGGATTCATATATGAAACAGTTTTCTCTGCTTCTAGTTCCTAAGACACGGGGGTAGACCGCTGCTACTGCTCAACAGAGCCTTTGATTGGCTCTTAGAAAAAGAAAGAGAAGGGAAGAAGGAAGGAAACCACAAAGTGCAATTTGTAAAAAGGATGTACTAATCCTAATTTTCACTTTTGTCACTGTGAAGTCTCACAGTGCTCTTGCTCCTTCTACTGACTATTTTCCCAGTGATGACCTTGGGACCTTTATCAGTATCAATCCTAATCATCCTTTAACAATAAAGAATGACCGCAGAAGAACCAAACTTTCTAAAGGTGGGAGAGGGGCATGAAGGATGTAACTAGCGGCCCTCCACCCGCAATGTGGGCAAGGGTGCTGGCAGGCTCCATCCAGCTGGAGGGGCGGCCGAAAATTTTCTGTGCACCAATTTATCAGGCAGGTGAACAGAGAGTATCTCCAGGTTCAAAGGTTCTAGTCAAATAACCGCAGTCCACGTTGCTTTTCCTATTGAACTGGGGTTCACAAGTTGATCTTTGAGGCTAAAACTAGTATTTAGATGTTGAAAAACTACCTTATATATAGTGGGAAATGGGGAAGTGACTAAATCTTTGTAAAAAACCAAAAATAACCAACTGCAGTGAAATCTGGGACTGGGTACAACTGCCAGTTGAAGGACACTTCACCCCCACTCTTGTTCTCCAGGGTGGTCGGCCCCTCCCAGCCCAGGTGACAAAGTCACATTTGCCACACCTCCACTCCAAGTAGTATCTATCACCATTGAGTTTTTTTTTTTTTTTTAAATCTATTTTAAAAGGCAATTCAGAAAAAGACAAAGGAGCTGCCAATTAGAGCCTGGAGGAACATTAACAAACCACTTGTCAGTTTGTCCCTAAGAGCACTGTCATGCCCACCAGCAGCTCTGTTCCTAGGTTTGCTAGGAACAGGGGTGGGGGAGGAGAACACCTGCTCTTTCTATGCTGACCCTGCTTACCAGACACTAACTTAAATCATCCAGAGGGGTCTTGGGATACAGCTAGCTGAGATCTTCTCACAAACCTGGAAATGGGCATTCCCACATACTTCCTTACAACCATGGAGACAGTGAACTGGAGAAGGAAACAATGGGGCTGCATCTTGATAGCTTAGCAAATTGTTCTCGAAAATTCTCAATCCTGTGATTAAAAAGTAGCACATTGTCTTTCTACAGATTTGGGAAACAGAAGTCTTCCAAATAAATATTTTGCTGTGTTTTAAATATCTAACTTTGGATACATCAAGGTTTATAGGATTATAAAGGTTGTTAAAAAAAAAAGTGCTGATTAGTTTTCCACATTATATGAGAGCACCATAGCCAGAAGGAAGGTAAGGAGGGAACAGAGCACGTACTTTGAGGTCACCCATTAATTAAGTGGCAAATTACTAATGTGATACAAAGAAAGGTGCACTGATTAACACAGAGCCAGTTAAAATCAGACCAGGGACTGAATTTTCCATGTCCTGACGACTGGCCTCCCATCACCAGCCTTTAAGTAACAGGCACGCTCTTAGAAGTGCTAGTTGAAAAAGGAAAGATGTGGACAAGAGCTCCGTCTCTGAGGCTAAGAGGGTGGACATTGTGCAAATCCGCGCTGCTCCCATTTCTCCTTGTCTCAGAGAGTGGAGGTGGTGGAGCGTCTGGAAGACATCAGTACATATCTCTGTAGATCTCCTGCAGCAGTGGGTGGAGCGCCGCGTCCGACTCGGTCTTTTTGATGACCTGCACCAGCTGTGCGTGCTCCGTGACCAGCTGCCGGAGGTCCACCATTTTCTGAAGGAGTTTTGGGAAGAGAAAGGTGTCATCCGGATGGTTGCTCTGCAAGTGAAGTTTGAGCACGTGCACGATACCCTCCTGCATTTTCTCAATGTATCCTATGTTTAGAAGGCCTGGGCGATCTAGGCTCAAAAGAAGAAAAAGACATTTGAGTGTGATAACCCCCTGGTGACTTTATCGCCTGAGGAGCCAGGCATTGCTGTTTCACATGGCCTTCCTGAGAAAAGGCTGAGCAGCCTTTGATGTCCACGTGATAACAGGCAGACAAAGACTTCCACAGTCACTAGGCCTGACAGGGACAGCTACACGGTTACACGGCTACAGCTTGGCTGCACCAGGCCACAGCACCATCTCAGATCCCTCTTAAGTGCGGCCCCTCATTTTGCATCTCCCAGACTACCACCTGTTAGGGGACAACCCGAAAACCATTAGGAGCAGCTGTACACTCTGATGCCATCACAACAACTTTGCATAAGGTGGGAAATGCAGAACTTCGGGAGTGAAAGCTAGATACTCGGTTTCAAGATTTCCACCAGCATTTAAAGGAATGGTCCCTTCTAAAAGGAGCCAGTGAAGAGAGAGAGTGGACTCCAGTCTATGCCAAGATCGGGCAAGGTCACTGAGTTTACAGTAGGCAGGTGACCTTCCCAGATCTGAGGCAGTGCTATTTGAGGAAATGTGACGCCAAGCCAAAAACTTGGGGCTTCAGAGCCCCAAGAGAGGCCCAGACCGCTCTTCACCAGGCCTGTGTGCGCTGGCAGAGCAAATCCAGGATTGCTACCAGTTAGCATCAATGTTTTTCTTTATGCATTAGAGTAACCACTAGCAAATGGACAGCACTATGCTAACATCTGCATGGTGCATCACAGCATCTTATTTATGGTCTGGATGTAATGTAACAATGTAATTATAACAACAGTACAAGACAATCGCAATATAATGCTATCATAAGTTAATACTAATTATATCTAATACGATTATGTTATTAGATATAATCATAAATGCTTACAAATACATACATATGTATACATACTATAACAACAATATATACCGTACTATCCACTCCTGATACCATTCTCCCTAGTGCTACTAAGCGGCCCCTGGGCACAGACCTCGCCACACTCTGCCAGTGCCCACTTCACTGTAGCCCAGCCTAAGATGGCACCATTATTAACTTGACAGTTATCAGGTCCTTCAAGAGAGGAGCAGTGAGTGACTTGACACCTGCAGATTAAGTCATCCACTTACCTCCACAGCAAATATAGCAGCCACAAAAAGAGAAATATCGCTGTCATCCAATTCCAGCGCATTGAACTTCATGGCGAAATCAAACTTAGGTTCCAAGATATCACAGAACGGTTTTCTTAGGTTTTTTAGGAATTCACGAGTTATAAAACCATTACCATATGCTATCAGCATCCCGTCTTTGTTCATCAGAGAAGACAGCATTGTAAATATGGCCTCATAAACGCCATATTTTAGCAGAGTGACTTGATCATTCAAGTCCAGGTCTGCAAAGCCTGGGATAGCCTTGGCGAATTCCGTAAGCTCCGTGACTGTCTCCACAGACATGCACTGGCAGCAGTGGAAGATGCGGACCTCTGCCTCCTTGTTTTGGATGCCATTGGCCACCATCTTGGCCACAAGCGTCTTCTCGGCCATACACAGCGTCTCCATATCATGTATGACAAAAGGCTATAAAGAAAGGGAAGTCAGTCACAATATGCAACAAGCGGTACGGTACTCTTAGGTACTGGTAAACTAATGAGTATGGAAATCCAAAATGCATGTGAAACACAGTCCTTATTCCTGAGCAACTTCAAAGGATTAGTTGGAGAAAAGAAGACATATGGAGAACCAACAATATAAATCAGTAAGATGACCGTCATTGTCTGACCTTGGGTAGTGATTTCATTGCTAAGAAACTGAAGTGTTGATTTTGGCAATGCAGATAGCAAGAGAATATCAGCAAAGCGCCTTTAATATCCTACAACATTTCCAGAACTCCTAAATATGGTTGGAACAGTATTAAGGAATTAAAATAATTCTTAATTTTACCATTTTATAAGCTTTTTTTGCAAAGGTAGCAGTTATTATTTAACAACTGACAGTTGAATGAATAAGTGTGGCATGCAATGTATGCTCCCCAGAAGATGGCATTTGTGTAGAAATAAGCAGAGAGGCATTGCTGAACTCTCCAGGGAAAGAGAGGAGACTCCTCCCAGTGCCCCATTTCTCCAGTGCCTAAGGCTATAGCCTCAGCACATGCCACTCTGAGAAACAAGTGGTGCTCTCAGTGCCAGCTCCTTCCACTCGCTGCCCCATCTGCATCTGCTTTTACTGGTCCTGCCACTAAAGAGCCAGTGCTGGCACCGGCTTTGCCACTACTGTGCACATATCCCAAGGAGACCAAATCAGCATGTCAGAGATGCCTGCACGCCCAAATTTCCCGCGGCACTAGTCACAACAGCCAAGACATGGAATTACCAAGGTGTCTGTCGGTGGATGACTGGATAAAGAAAATGTGGCATATGCACACCATGGAATATTATCCAGCTAGGACAAGAAGGGAATCCTGTCACTTGCAGAAGCCAAGCACAGAAAGACAAATCTGCACGTCGCACATGGAAGCTAACCAAGTTGATCTCACGGGAGCAGAGAGTAGGGTACTGGTCCGCAGAGGCTGAGGAGAGCAGCAGGGAGGGACCAAGGCACTTTTAGATAGAAGGAACGAGAACTTCCAGTGTTGTATGGCAGTGATGTTTACACCAATTTATTATATATACCATAAAGAATTAGAAGGGAGGAATTGAATGTTCTTAAACACAAAAAGATGAGTGTTTAGGATGGAAGTGCTCATTACTCTAATTTATCGGTGCACATTTTACATGTTTCAAATTATCACACCGTATCCCATAAATAGCACAGCTTACAATATGTGAAAAAAAGATCTGATGGAGAAAGAGGAGACAGTGGCCGTGTCACCTGTGTGCTGAGCAGAGGAAATGGGCCTGAGGGATCGGCCTGATTGAGACCTTGATCCACACACTATCATGAGGCGTCCAGGCCCTGGCTCCCATTCCCCCTGGTGTGCCCAAGCTCTCCCCATTCTGGACTGTGCAGAGCATCCCCAGGAACCTCAGTGCTAACCCAAGTACTGGGCGCCTGGGGTGTGCTCGGTACAGAGGCAAGGAGGGAGCGTGGGGGCCGAGCAGTGCTGAGCACCGTGTACACACGGTGCTGAAGAGAAAAATCTCATTTATAATTGAGGAAAGGTGATGTCCAGAACATTACTCACAAGTCAGTGCAAACGTTCCAAGTACAAAATTCAGAGCCAAGTTCTAAATATCTCAGGTCTGAGTAAGGAAGAGTAAAACAGCTTCTTTCCAATGGCCTTAAAACCAGGCCAATAACCACTGTTTTAGAAAACAGTGGGGGGGGGGGTCGGTTTCACTTGAAGCTCAGATTGAAAGATGTAGCATCTGTGAGCTGGATGGCAGAAACACAGCTGGACCTCTGTGTCAGTGTGTTCCATATCCAAGAACTCCACCATCCTTGGGTCAACAAAATAAAGAAAAAAATGTGTCAAGTCTGACTTTTAGAGTTTTTTTGGGTGGAGACTGGAGATTGAACCCAGAGCCTCACACATGCTAGGCAAGCACTCTTCCACTGAGCCACACTTGGCCCTGCTTTCCCCTGAACAGTACAGCTCATAACTGTTTCTACAGCATTTATCTTGTATCGGTACTCTAGGAAATCTTGAGATAACTTGATGCACATGGGAGGATGTCCAAAAGTTCTGTGCAAATACTGTATTATTTAAAACCGGGTCTGGGCATCCATGGATTTTAGTATCCACAGGGTTGGGGAGTCTCCAGACCTAATCCTCCAAAGGCATGGAGGGAGGGCTGTGTTCGAAAGTATAAATGACAGTATTCCCTCAACTGTAGGAAAACGCACTGTTAGGTTGCCTTAGCTTTATTCGAATCATTGTCTTCCTCTCTGTATATGCAACACAGAGTCCTTGGTGGCAGGAAGCAGCCATCCCAGGGAAGGCATTGTCACCACTGAAGCTGCCAGTCTCGTTTTTATGTTAGCTCCACTTCCTTTCCTGGCATCCCAACCCAACAAATCAACATGGTACTGGGGACACTGGGCAAGTGCTCTACCACTTGAACCATGCCCCCGGTCCTTTGCTTTTAGTCTTTCATGTAGGGTCTTGAGCTAACTTTGCCTGGGCTGGCCTCTGATTGTGGTCCTTCTATCTCTGCCTCCTAAGTTGCCAGGATTGCAGGTATGTGTGACCATGCTGGGCTTAACAGTGTCTTTTTAGAAGCTGCTGAAAGCCCCTATTTGGAGTCCATGCTCGGAGGACACAAGTTTTCCCTCCACCCCTGAGTTCTGCTTCCACTTTTGTTACCCTTAAATCAAGAGGTAGTGAGTCCCAGAGGAGCTCTGGCTCTGTCACCAAGGGCCCTGACCATTTTCTGGTTCATGAGTCTGAAATCTCAGGGGCTCAGACCATTCCAGGGGTCCAGAAGGAGACCAGCTTTCCCATCCATCTCCTCACCTCTGCCCTCAGCTAAACCTAACCCCATCTTTCCCCAAGAGCAATGCGTTCTCCCTGCAGCTGCCTTTCCCACCCCAGCAGCATCCTGCCACCAGGGTCCCTGGCACTCCAACCAGTTCCAGGTCAGTTCTGGGGCTTTGCTTCATCTTAGTGGTTTCACAGAACAAAGAAATAGTGTTTGCAAGATAAATTCAGTGCCCGCTTCTGGCAGTTCTGAGGCCTGTTCTATTTAACACACTGTCTGGCTCCTGTTTGTCCCCATCATGGTTAGAACAGTTTAGATCCAAGTTCTGGTCAGAGCTTGGTGCATGCCCCTGTCCTGGCAGCCCTGCAGGAAGGTGACGAGGCCTCCTTACACTGATGCATGAGTTCCCATCACTCCCTGTACACAAGTTGACTGGTCTAGACACATTCTGGGTTTTTCCCCCCACCCCCAATCAGAAAAGAGGCCAACTGCAGGTGTTGAGGCTGCTATGCTTTCTGATGCTCTGGGGCCCAGCTGGGGTGCTGGGTCGTTCCAGGCTAGAACCTGACAAATAGTCACTGAGGACTGGGCCACCAGGCATAGGCCAAGCCAAATGCCTGGTCTCCCGAACAGGTGGGATTGCTTTCTAAATCATGTAGGACACACAAACTATGGCCTTCCCTTGCCCATTGCAGCAACAAGATCAACATCTACAGAGACGCTTGGGCAGTGCAGCCTGCTGGTGGGCACCCTGCCAGTTGGGTCTTTCTCAAGCTGGACACAGATAGAAGAGCAGACATGGGCCTCACATTGGAAAGCGATGAGCTCTGGGAAGCTGGCCAGTAGGCCAGGCAGGAAGGGGGACAGACTGGGCCTCCAACATACAGGACATGAGTGGGAGGGGACCCTGGCCTGGAACTAACCATGTGGTCAGATGTAGCAACTTGGTCCATGTCTGGACACTGTTTCTGAACTGGTTCCTGGAGTGCCCTGGTGTGGCAGTGTGTGGGCAGGAGCACATACTCATTCTGACTTTCTACTTAGTGACTCCCAACCCTAGACCATCCATCTACTGTTCCTTTCCTTGTGTGAGACTCCTGATTTCCTCAACTCTGGCCAAGGGCAGCAGGCTCCTTCTAAGAGCTCTGTGGACAGTGGACACATGCAGAGAAAACCATGGGAAGCGAATTAACCAAAGAACAGTGTGAAAAGTCAAGATGGCCTTTCAATGTGTTCTAAAAACTTAAAGTTCAAGGAAGAAACACAAGATCTCAAATGGAAGTTTGGGGTTCTCTAATTTGGGCTAGTTATTTCCAAGTCAGACATGCAAAGTGAAAAGGCTGGCTTCACCTTGACCCTGGGATCTAGAAGAGCTCTACTTGACCTGAGCCTCTGGGGATACCTAGTGTGGTATTTGCTGAAAGCTTCTAAAATGTGTTGACCTATTTAATTACAGAATTCATGGAAGAACTAAAAGACTCAGTAAAAGAGGGGTTTAGTTTGTTCATGAAAGTAAGCAGCTTGTGAAATCCTTTATTTGCCTGTGACTAAAGAGTCTAGCTTGTAATTCCTAATAAGGAATGCTCCAAGTTATTCATTAGGGCAAATTAAACCTGGCGTACCATCCTCACAGGAAAAAGGCAAAATATCTTTATGCACCAACTTAGGGCCAACCCTTCTTTGAAGCTGACTCTTACACCCCTTCTGCAATGGACACAGGTCCCTGTGGGCAGTGGACATAAGCCAGGCAGCTGGTGAAGGAGGAGGGGCCACAGGGGCCATCTGAAAAGGTCTAGAACTATCAAAAAGATGATAATCTTTCTGTACACAAAGGACCCTTCCCATGGTGTGAGACACCACTGCCTTCTCGCTGGAGGAGAAGGCAGGTGTTGGGTGAAGAGGGTAGGTATAAAGGGAGAGTTGTTCTAGGGGTCAGAATGCAAGAACATGTGAAGTGAAAGGTTTCATTTTCTGACCTAGAAATAGGGATATTTATTTATTTATTTTGGTGGCACTGGGATTTGAATTCAGGGCTCCACGCTTGCAAAGCGGGCGCTCTACTGGTTGAGCCACACCTCCAGTCCATTTTGTTTTGGTTATTTTGGAGATGGAGTCTCAGGAACTATTTGCTCAGGTCGGCCTTGAACTGTGATCCTCCCATCTCAGCCTTCCAAGTAAGTGGCTAGGATTACAGGTGTGAGCCACCAGCTCCTGGCTTAAAATAGCGATGTTTAATAATGCACCGGCTGGTACCTGGCAAGCCATTAACTAGGTTATTTCTGCAGCACCTATTACACGAGCCCTGCAATAACCTGGTTGCCAGGAGCTCCAAGGCAAGCCCGAGAGGAACACCACAGCTGCTCTTAAGCTACGTCTTAGAGAGTCAGTGTGAAACATCTGCACGACCCCACGTGGTCCCGGGTTTGCCTTTGGGATGAATTTTATTTTCCCCAAATCGAGCAGCATCCTCGCCCATTCTCTGTGACTCCAGTAGACGGAGGCCCATGGAGCACTGCAGACCCTACCCAAGGACAGCGAGAGCACCTACTGGATTATTGCTGGTCTTCCCCGCGAGGATGACCCGGGCCTTGACCTTGTTCATGTTGAAGTTCTTCAAGTAGGCTTCGTAAATCCTCTTGGCGAGAGACTTGAGATCGGCACTTTCAGAGTCCGCTATGTCGTGTTCACAGGTAAGAATTTCTGCTTTCAGCTTTGCCTTCTCAGACCTTGGCATTCGCCCAAAACGAATTGCTGGGGTGGGGGGGATGGGAGAATGGGAAACAGAGATGAGCAAGGCAGGAGGAGTGGCACGGACGGTGGCGATGATGAAGGGTGGGGTGCAAATGTCACACTAGGAACTGAGCTACGGATGGAAATCCAGTCGGAAGTTAAAATCCGCTGCTCATTATGATCCACCTTTCTGCCAGGGAGAGAGGAAAGCAAAACTCAGATGCCATAAATCCTAACCTTTTAAAAAGGTTAACATAGGGCTGGAGGAAGGCTCAAGTGGTAGAGTTCCTGACCAGCAAGTGCAAGGTTGTGAGTTCTAACCCCGTTACCACCTATATATACATACACATATCTATGTGAAAATAAAAGCTGACAGCACTACTCATCAGTACGACTGCCACTGTCACCCGGCAGTCAATGACCTTTAGATGAAGGGGAAGTTAGTAAACTTTAGAAGAGCTGGTATATTCATTACCTTTTTTTCCCCAGCAGGCAGAGATGCAGCCCTTATGAATAAATTGTTTTAAATTGCTCTGCTGAGCCCGGACTTGGTGAGACATTCGTTTCCTTGGGCTTTTCTGATTACAAAATGATCTCTGTGTTACACGCTGCTGCAGACCCATTTAGAATGCAGTCCATTCCGGCTGCACAAGGAAGCAAACTGAGGACCACGCTAGGACACTGTGCTGGGCAGCCTTACCTACCGTTGTGTGACATGCCGACAGAAAGGCACTTGTGGAAGCGGCAGTGTTGGCACTTGTTCCGGTTCTTTTTCTGGATCTTGCAACCGCGGTCACACTTGTCATACACCAGCTTGAGCCGAATGGTTCTCCGGAAAAAGCCCTGTGAGATGAGCACAGTTTGTGAAAGAAGGACCACCAGTAAACCACCGCACTCCCACGTTTGCCTTTCTTGTTGCTCATTCGTTTTCTTTTCAGACGAACTACGTTTACAGAGACAGTTCTTCTAACAAGCCTCATATAACTGTGGAAAATGGTAAACTTTAAATTCCAGTGCACTTAAAATGAAGAACAAGCTACACATGGGCCCACACCTGTAATATCAGCTAGTCGGTGGTGGATCATGGTTCCAGGTCAGCTGAGGCAAAACTGTTAGTGAGACTCCATCTCAACAAATAAGCTGGCATGGTGGTACACGCCTACAATCCCAGTTATGTAGGAGGCATAGGTAGGAGGATCATGGTGCAACCCCAGGCAAAAATGCAAGACCCTATCAGAAAAATCACTAAAGCAAAAATGGGCTGGGGGTGTGGCTCAAGTGGTAGAGCACCTGCATAGCAATCATGAGGCCCTGAGTTCAAACCCCTGTATTGACAAAAACAAAAAAATGAGGCAAAATTCAAAGTGATTTCAAAAAGTCCACATCTGACTAGGGAAGACACAGCGATAGTTTGACTCAGCACTTCATGTATACTGAAGTAACTTCCGTCCCTTGCGAGGTATCCAGATTTGTGACAAAGAATTTTCTAGGAATTTTTCTAAAAGAGTATTAGCTCCTTAAAAGAAAACAAATTATAATAAAAGGAGGCCAACTATTTGTAAACAATTTTCTTGCTTTATAAAATCATTTAAACTTTACCCAGAAAGAGGACAATCTTCTTAGTGGGTCTATAAAAAAGCTGAAACTAAACAAAAGTAGTCAAATCGGGCCTAATGCAAAGGCTGCTTTACGGCGACTTTTTTTTTTGTGGGGGTCGAGGCGGGGATGTGGTTAGAAAACTTGGGAAGGAGTTTATTTTGGCTTTGGGTCCTTTTCTCCTCTTTGCCTCTAAGGCATTCTTTCTACACGCCTGACGTGGTGGACTCCACTGGCCGATGGGAGGGGCTGGCATTTCTTGGGAATGGAGGAAAGGCTGATGTCTTCCCTCCGTTCCTTCTCTAGGTTTGTAAAGTGGGAGGGCAGGAGGAAGGGTGGGAAGAGAGCTCTGACTGCCTGGGACCACCATGCCCTGACTCTGTGGCCCGTTCTCCTGATAGACAGGCCTCCAAGGCCAGTCCCGGTCAGGGGCAGTACGCCCGTGTTTTAAGAATGCAGGTAAAGGAAGGTCTGTGACATTCCCCAAGAGCCAGCGAACGCTTCCAGCAGGCACAATGACGGGGGACTTCGGCTGCTGAACATTCAGATGTCTCTATCGTCCAGGTTTTGTGTGTCAAACTTGAGAAGGCACGTGTTACCCTGAAAGGCTGGGATGCTTCAGGGAGACTTGCAGGGCAGGACACTTCTGGAAGGGCCAGCTGCTGAGCCACAGGGCCTCATAGTCCTGGTCACATATACCTGGCCCTGGTCACTTCTGTCTTGGGGCTTGGGTGAGCTACAAAAGGATGCAGGTGGCTTGGGGTGGGGGTCAGGAGCCCTGGGAGCTGGTGCTCCTGAGCCAGGCACTGTGAGACCCTCAGCAAGAGACCAGGCGTCTCTGATCTTGGCCAGTACCTGGACACCTCCACACTGGCAGGGCTCCATGGGGGTGGAAGGATAAGTGGGCAAAAGCTCTCTACCCTGTGTTCACATTTTTAAGGTGGCTGACTTTCTTTGAAGGACACACTTCTCTGAGTTATTTGCAAAGTACAGCAGAGCCATCTGTCTCAGACTCTGAAGAGAGAAGTCATGCTGTCCCTTCAGGTCAGTTCTCTGTGCCTTTCAGCAGATCTCTCAGTGACAACAGCCACTTGTGTGCAAGATCACAGCAGTCATGCAGCTGTGTGCAGGCCACCCTCTTCCTCCGCCAGGGCCACTGTACCTTGCAGCCCTCACACGCGTGGACTCCGTAATGGTAGCCTGAGGCCTTGTCCCCACAGATCCGACACTCGATGTTTAGAGTTCCACCAGGGGATTCATCCGTGCTGCCGGGAACCGCAGGGCAGGTGACCGGGGAGGGACTGGAAGCTGGAGAGAGGGTGTCTAAGAGCAGAAGAGGAAAAGGTGTCACCACCTCGCTGGAATCCGGTCTTCTAGAAGACAATTTACCAGAGGATTTTGTGATGTGGTACAGCCCACAGGCAGGGCACCTGAGTCTCCTGGTCCCTGGCCACAGCTACCTTGTTCTGTGTCCACAACTACCATGGTGCTGGGATCCCCAGCTCACACACTCCTGTTCATACCCGCTGACCTGTGCCCTGGGCCAGGGCTCTGCACAGTGGCTGCCTCACAGGACCTCCACCTGGAGGTCCCTGAGCCTCCCGTGTTCCACATGCCCTAAGGAGAACTCACTGTTTTGTTTGCTTGCTTCCTTCCAGTTCTACAATTGTTAACTCAGTAAGCGGCACCAGATCACAGTATAAAAATTCATGCAGACTGGGTGTGGTGAAACAAGCCTGTAATCCCAGCACCTGGGAGGCTGAGGCAGGAGTATTGTGAGTATAGGGCCAGCCGGGGCTACTGTGAGACCCTGTCTCAAAACAACAACGAAAAACTCATGTGGGCAACACCCAAAGCATTATCTATGAGAAGAAAAAAGTTGTAATTCATAAAAATTAAAAATTTCTGTTAAGAAAATGAAAGGAAAAACCACAGAATGAGAGAAAGTATTTGCAAACCCCATCGATAAAAGTCTTACATCCAAAATATACAAAGAAGCCTTAACATTCAGCAATAATAAAACAAACAACTCAATTAAAAATGAGCATAAGATCCGAATAAACACCTCACCAAAGAAGACAGATGGCAGCAAGTGCAGGAAAAGATACTCTATGTCACTTGTCATTAGGGAACCGTGAGTGGAAACAGTGACCATCCCCACATACCGATCAGACTGAATGAAGGAAATTTAAAGCCTGACAGCAGCAGGTATTGCTGTCCCAGCTACACAGGAAGTGGAGATAGGAGGACCCAGGCCCAGGCTGGCCCATGCATAAATGCAAGACCCTATCTGAAAAATACCTACAGCAAAAGGGCCATGGGGGATGGTGGCCCAAGCGGTAGTGTGCCTGCCTATAAGTGTGAGGCCATGAGTTCAAACCCCAGTACCAGAACAAAACAAAAAAACCCAAGCAACAACAACAAAGGACAAACAACAGTAACAATGGTCACTGGAGAGGACGTGCAGTGACCGGCACTCTCCTTTGTAGCTGGTAGGGTTGCAGAATGGGCTAGCCACTTAGGAGGGCAGTTTGGCAGTTTCTTACAAAGCAAAACAGCTTCGTGATATGACAGTGACTGCACATCTAGGTCCTTGCCCAACTGATCTGGAAACTTGTCTACACAAAACCTGTATGTGAACGCTTATTGTAGTTTTGTTTATTGTTACTGTTGTTATTTTTAAGACAGGGTCTTGCTAACTAGTCCAGACTGGCCTTGAACTCATTACCCTCCTGCCTCAGCCTCCCCAAGGGCTGGGATTATAGCTGTGTACCACCATGCTGAGTAGCTTTATTCTTAACTGGCCAACCTTGGAAGCAAAAGAGACAGCCTTCCGTAGGTGAATGGGTAAACAAACTGGGCCATCCTGACAGTGGAACATTACTCAGCGGATAAAGAAATGAGCCAGGAAAGACACAGACGCATCTTCAATGCATACTGTAGTGCAAAAGAAGCCACTGTAGGAAGGTCACATCTTGAACTACTCCAGGTACATGGCATTCTAGAAGCAGCAACACACCGCAATGGCAAAGCAATGCCTGCTGTGGAGGCTGGGGGAGGAGGTGGGGTTGACCAGGTGCCACACAGGGGCTCTTGAGATGGTGAAATTATTCATAGGAAAGTGAAATGGGGACGCATGGCACTAGGTATGTCAAACCCCACAGCTTAGAACTGATCTTAATGTGTGCAAATAAAACAAAAATAATTTAGGAGGTTGGAGGACCCCAGGACGGAATGCAGAATGTGACAAAACTTCTAACTATCGCAGTTGTGTGAGACAACCTTGCTGAAGGGGGAGGGTGTGTGTCGACCTAAGTGACCTTGGTGGTGAGTGGCATCTGTAACACTGAGGGCAGAGGGTCTGTGGAGAGCACTGTGCTCTGGCTGGTAACGTATCGCTGTTTCCACAGGAGCATGGGCTACTGATTCCAATGCCACTGTGCGTGTAAACTGACAATGAGCAATTAGGTAAGTGGATGGTGGGTGGCAGGGTGGGAGCTAGGTTGCTCACCGCTGAAGTGCGAGGTTACAGATGTGCAAGAGGAGCAGGCTCAAAAGACCCATATATGGCAATGGTTTAGTCAGTGGCACCAGCAGGAACCCATGTGTAGCTTAACAGAGATACAGATGGTTGCATATGGAAAGAGTCATGGCATATGTGTGCTAGTGTGTACACATGCACGTCATTACTCTGTCAGTTGAGAGAGCTTAGAAGAAAAGCCACTCCAGTAGCAACCGAAACAATCAGGGGAGAATAACAGCTGGGACTGTGAGAGACTGAATATAGTCCTGTTCTCACCTCTCACAGTAGACGCTCTTAGAACTTGTGGGGCTTCAGATACAGCACTCAAAGGGTTTTGCTTCAGCAGGGAGGCAGGACTGCCTCTAAGATAGACTCTCTGGTCCCATTTAACACAAGCTTAGAAAACAAGACCTGAAAGGATCAAATCAAATGTTTTCCAAGTGACTTAACTGTATGCCAGAACAATGGTCAGGAATAGTTATAAGAATCCAAAAATCTTTCATCCAACAGAGTACAGAGTATGTGGCATACAATAAAAAAATTATAAGACACAAAAAGATATGCTAAGAAAAATCAATGAACTGAAAAGGACCCAGAAATGACACAGATAATAGAATTCATATTTTAAAAAGTTAATCTTACCATATTCCAAGCGCTCAAAAAAGCTAGATGAAAGACAGAACGTGTTAGATAGAGGTGAGGGTAAGGAAATAACTGAATCATGCTTTTTACTAATGAAAACCACAATATCTGACAAGGAAAACACACTAGATGGTTTAGGCACTGCAGAAGTAAACGTCAGTAAACTTGAAGTTGGCAATAGAAATTATGCAAAATGAAACACCCAGAGAAAGACTGAAAAAAAAAAAAGAACTCAGCATTAGTGAATTGTGGCACCTCTTCATGTGACCCAATGTACATACAATTGGAGACCCCAACAAATGAACAGAGAGGAAAGAAACGTGCCTGCGGAAATGCCAACAATAAATCCACGGATCCCAGAGGCTCAGCAAAGCCCAAGAAGTGTGAAGAAAACAAGACCAAGGCGTATCATAATCAAATGGTTTAGATCCAGTGATGAAGAAAAATTTAAGAGCTGTCAGATATATAAAAAAGACTAAAGGTAACAGGTGCTGATGAGGAGGTAGGGAAAAGGGAACCCTGGCTGCTGTTGATGAGAAATGGAAGTAAGCTGTTATAAGTTCTTACAATATCTGTAAAATAGCATTATATCACTTAAGGCAACTGTGATTAAGCTAAAGACGTATACTATAAACTACAGCAACACTTCAGTAATACAAGGAGTTGTGAATAGTGAGCCAACCAAGAAGATATAATTGAATTTTTAACAATACTCAGTTAATACAAAAGAAGGCAGAAAAAGAGGGAAATGAGGACAAAGTATAGATAGACCCCAAAAGAACAAATTTCAAAATAGTAAATTTAAGTTCAATCATCATATAAAGATACAAAGAAGTTAAAAGAAAAACAGGGAAATGTATACCATGTTAACAATAGTCAGAAGAAAGCTGCAGTGGATACATTAGTATCAGACAAAGCAGTGTTCAGACAAAAGAAATATACTCGGGATAAAACATGTTATTTCATTTTAATAAAGGGGTCAATTCATCATGAGGATGAAATAATTCTTCTTTTTTTTTTTTTTGTGGTACTGGGGTTTGAACTCAGGGCCTACACTTTGAGCCACTCCGCAAGCCCTTTTTGTAATGATTTTTTTTTTGAGATAGAATCTTGTAAATTATTTGCCTGGGCTGGCTTCGAACCACTATCCTTCTGATCTCTGCCTCCTGAGTAGCTAGGATTATAGGCATGAGCTAGCTGCCAGTGCCCAGCTGAGGATGAAATAATTCTGAATGTCTATGACCTAAGAACAGAGTTTCAAAGACTGGTGGAACTGAAAGGAGAAATAGACAAATCTACAAATCTGATGGGAGATGTCAACAGTCCATTCTCAATGGCTGATGGAGCAAGCTGATGGAAAACCAGGAAGGATATGGAAGGTTGGGCAATGCCAATTACCAACTTGAGCTCACTGACATTTGCCAAGCATGCCACCCAACACCTGCAGAACCAACATCCTCCCCAGACTGGAGCATTTACCAAGCCAGACTGTGCTCCTGACCCTAAGCCAGCTCTTAACACCACCAAAAGCATCTACACCATACAGACTATGCCCTCTGACCTCAAGGGAACTACATTAGAACTCAATAATGTAAATATATCCTGGAAATCCTCAAATACTTGGAAAGTCAGACAATAACTTTAACCTACGGGTTCAAGTGAAAATCAGAAGGGAAGTTATGAAGTATTCTGAACTGAATGGAAATGTAAGCATTAAAATGTGTGTCATGGCACTAAAGGAGTAATTAGATGGAAGTTTATGTTAGAAAAAAGGGAAAATCTCAAGTCTATGATAATTTAAGAGCAGAAAGAGCAGAAATTAGACTCAATAAAACATCAAAAAGGAAATTACAAAGAATGCACTGGGAATCCGTGACATAGAGAACACAAAGAAAGACGCCAACTTTTAGTTCTTTGACAAGAGCAATAAAATTCAGGAGCATCCAGTCAGGTGAATGAAGAGAGACAGGGAGAAGACAATTTTAAATATCAGATATTATATCAAAATATCAAATTATAAATAGCAGAAAGGTGCTATCATAATAAATTCTATAGCTATTGGAAGGATACTAAGGGGACACTATGAATAACTTTGTGCCAATAAATTCAATGACATAGATGAATGCATTCCTTGAAAGGCAAATTATCAACATTCATTCAAAAGGCAGAAACTGAACAGCCCTCTATCTATTAAGGAAATTGAACATGTAGTTAAAGAAACCTCCAGACCCAGATGGCTTCACCTGTGAAATCTATCAAGCATTTAAGGAAGAACAAATATCAATTCTACAGAAATACTTCCAGAAAACAAGAGGAAGGAACAGTTCGTTTCACAAAGCAATACTGTTTCTGAGGCTAAACCCAGACAGAGATATTACCAAGAAAGAAAACTAACACCAATATCCCTCAGACATATGGATGCAAAAACACTTAACACAATTTTAGTAAGTTAAATCCACTAATACATAAAGAGGCTCGTGGATTATGACCAAGTATGATTTTTCATGGGAATTGTAAGAAATGTAATTTACCATAACAACAAACCAAAAATGATAAACCATTTGATCATACTAGATGCGTAAAAAGTATTTCCTCACATCCAACATCAATTCCTGATTAAAAACTCACAGTGAGCTAGGACCAGAAAGGAACTTCCTTCCCCTGCTAAAGCACACCTAAGAGGAACTGCATTCTTCATGGTAAAGGATGAGTGCTTCCCCCTCAGCTCCAGAACGAACAAGATGTTTCACTTCTACTTAACATTATAGTGGAAGAAAAAGAAGTAAAAGATATCCACCTTGAAAAGAAGAAATAAACTGCCTTTTATAGCAGGTAACATGATTATCTACTTGGAAATCTCAAAGAAGCCATAAAAATTTACTGGGATTAATGAGTGACTTTAGCAAGGGTATACTGAATCAATAGCTAAAAATCAATTGTATTTCTATATCTGTAGCAACAATGAGAAATTAAAGTGTGAAAAAATACCATTTATAATTCCACTGAAAACAGGAAATACTTAGAGATAAATCTGACACAAAATATGAAAACCTATGCACTAGAAACTGTAAAATATGCCGAGGAGAAGCTGAAGAAGACCTGGCTAAGTGGAAAAATAAACATGGCCCCAGACAAGAAGACTCAATATTGGGAAGATGCTGAGGGTTCTCAAATTGACTAGACTCAGTACAATCCTAATCAAAGCCTTAGCAGGTTTTTTGTGGTACAAACTGATAAGCTGATTCTAAAATGCATATGGACAGTATGCCCCAAAGATCTTTGAAGAACAAGAAGAATACAGTTGGAGAACTTTCTCAGGGTTTCTTCAGGCTTTTTTTGGGAGGGTGAGGGTGGGACTGGGATTTGAACTCAGGGCTTCATGATTGCAAAGCAGGCACTCTATCACTTGAGCCACAGCTCAGTCCATTTTTGCTCTGGTTATTTTAGAGATAGGGTCTCATGAATTATTTGCCTGGACTGGACTTGAACCATGATCCTTCCATTCTCAGCTTCCTAAGTAGGTAGTATTATAGGCGTGAGCCACTAGCGCCCAACTCAGGCTTCTTATAAAAGCATAGTAAGCAGGACACAGTGACATTGGTGAACAAAGGCAAACACAGAGGATGGTGCTGGATAAAAACCCTAGAAAAAAGACCTACGATGTATGGTCCATTGATTTTTGACAAAGGCAGTTCAGTGGAGACAGAAGATATTTTCATAAATGGTGCCAAAACAACTGCAAATGAAAAAAAAAAGGAGAAAAATTTTGATCCACATGCAAATTAAATCAATGGATCTTAGACTTACATGTAAAACCTAAGACTTCTAGAAGATGTGACCTTGAGTCAGGTAGAACTCTCTTCATTACGACACATGAAAGAAAAGACATTCATACATTGGACTTCACTGAAATTCAGAACTGAGTTTTGAAAGACAGTGGAAAGGAAAGGTGAGCCACAGACAGAGTGAGGGTCTGTGGAGGGGCAAAGTTGCCAAAGCGCTTGCATCTGGAGTACGTATGAAATTCCTAACAGTCAACAGTACGAAAACAAAGAACTCAAGGGAAAAGTGGCAAATGATTCGAACAGAAACCTCAACAAAGAAGACCTAAGCACACGAAAAGACACTCAGTGCCACTAGTCGTCAGAGAAATCAAACTGGAAGTGCCACAAGGAGACGCCATGATGCACCTGGGAGAATGGCTAAACTGGCTGGCCATATCTCACGCCGTGGACCCTCATTCACTGTGGTGAGGACATAAACTGGTATAGTGTTTTAGAAGGGATTTTGGCAATTTCTTTACAAGTTGTTCAAACATGTACCCTACATCCCGACCATTATCCCTAGGTGTTTGCAGATGTCCATACAGAGACTCGGGCGCGAATGTTCACAGCATCTGTGTGTGTGACAGCCCCAAGCTGGGAACAAGTCAAGTGTTCAGTCAGGCGAGTGTGCAAACCAACAGTGGCATATCCAGTGATGGATGACCAAGAATGCAGTGCTGACACACGCCACCACGCTTGTGCATCACAGAGTGATTCTGTTAAGTGAAAGGAGCCAGACTAGGGCTGAGGGAATTGCTCAAGAGGTAAAGCCCTTGCCTACCTGGGGCGGTGACCTGTGAGGTGTTGGGTTCAATCCCCGGCCCTGCCCCCCTCAAAAAAAAATCTCGGGATTGGATATGTGTCTCAAAGAATAGAGTACCTGCCTAGCAAGTGTGAAGCCCTAAGTTCAAAAAAAGGAAAAAAAAAAAAAGAAACAAAAAAGGAAAAAAAAAGGAAGAAAAAAGGAAGAAAAGAAGAAAAGAGAGAAAGAAATCGAAATAGAAATGATTCCATTTAAATAAAATTCTAGAAATGCAAACTAACCTATAGTGAGAGAACAGATCCGAGGTTACATGGGAGGAGGGAGACATGGACGAGATGGAGAAGGATTCACAAAGGAGCACACATAAACTTTTGGGGCAATGGCTACAGTCTACTTCGCTTGTGATAGTATCTCAGATGAGTGCATGTGTGTACACACATCAGATTTTTTTTTTTAAAGTGTGACTTCTTATTTTCTCTGAAGAAAAGACTTTTTTTTTTTTTTTTTCTTTCTGGTACTGGGGTTTGAACTCAGGGCCTGCGCCTTGAGCTACTCCACCAGCCCTATTTTTGTGAAGGGTTTTTCAAGATAGGGTCTCATGAACTATTTGCTCGGACTGGCTTCAAACCTCCATCCTCCTGATTTCTGCCTCCTGAGTAGCTAGGATTACAGGCATGAGTCACCAGCGACCAGGCAAGAAAACACTTTTAATAGAGTTTTCCAGGAAACAGTGCTTACCGGTGATAACAGAGCCATCTGAGCCGGGCCCACTTCCCAAATACTGGTAGTCTGTGAACGTAAAGCTTCCAGAACTGTCCTCGCCGATGGACTGGGAAATCTCCTGGATGTTTCCCATTTCTTGTAGGAATTCCGCAGATAATGGGCTGTCCAGGTCATCAGCCTCGAGGGGGGAGAGGGGACAAATCAAGCTTTCTGCGTCTACCATGTTGCCTAGAAGGACCTGGTCACACCACTGAGCTCCAATCTATGGGAGGAAAGAAGTCATCGGTGAGACTGGCAGGTAAGAGCACGTGATTTGTGTTTGTAACTGAAGACATCATTTATCATGAAGATATACCCAAACTCAGGATGGAAATGGTGACTCTGCTGCCCATTGTTTTTAGGCTTGACTTTCGAGATGCACACTAAAAAAATGAAGCATTTGTAAACGACAAAACACAGAAGGAGCCAAAGCTGGGAACCATTCATTCCTTGCTTAGTTGCATACCACGCATGGGCTCAGCCCCAGGATACAAGGTACTGTATCCACAGCTGTGGACAAAAACAAAGTCCCTGCTCTCCCAGAGCATTCCTTCCAGTGGGGACACAGAAGGAAAGCGACTAGATCAATATGAGAGGGAGTGTCTGGTAGGGATAAGACACTTCAGGAACAGATGTTCTGTGGGAGGCCAGGGAAGGCCCAGCCGACTGGGGACGATAGTGACCTTGGGAACAAGGGAGCAAGCTGTGCAGATGTCCTCAGGGAGAATGTTCCAGCTAAAAGAACACTAAGTGCTAAAGTACGCTAGTCCATTCTAGGAACAACAGGGAGGCCAGTAGGGCTCAGGCTAAGGACACAGGCAGAAGAGGGCCAAGCAGTCAGCAAGTGTGTTGTGTACAATATTCATTCCTGAATGTTCTCCTTGTACCCCAAAAGGTCACTCATGTAGATAGTCCTGCAAAATGACTACAGTAACAATCATTTTTGGAGGTTCAGAAAACCTAATGAGGCTATTCTCAGACAATGCTGGACCATGCCAACTAGCAAATGAGAGAACAGTCCCCATGTGGTACAAGGATAAAATGGTACTCCTTCCTGTGTTAGACTGCACCACACTCTTGCTCTGACATCTTTTTTTTTTTTTTTCATTTTTCTTTTATTATTCATATGTGCATACAAGGCTTGGTTTATTTCTCCCCCCTGCCCCTACCCCCTCCCTTACCACCCACTCCACCCCCTCCCGCTCCCCCCCTCAATACCCAGCAGAAACTATTTTGCCCTTATCTCTAATTTTGTTGTAGAGAGAGTATAAGCAATAATAGGAAGGAACAAGGGGTTTTGCTGGTTGAGATAAGGATAGCTATACAGGGCATTGACTCACATTGATTTCCTGTGCGTGGGTGTTACCTTCTAGGTTAATTCTTTTTGATCTAACCTTTTCTCTAGTTCCTGGTCCCCTTTTCCTATTGGCCTCAGTTGCTTTAAGGTATCTGCTTTAGTTTCTCTGCATTAAGGGCAACAAATGCTAGCTAGTTTTTTAGGTGTCTTACCTATCCTCACCCCTCCCTTGTGTGCTCTCGCTTTTATCATGTGCTCATAGTCCAATCCCCTTGTTGTGTTTGCCCTTGATTTAATGTCCACATATGAGGGAGAACATACGATTTTTGGTTTTTTGAGCCAGGCTAACCTCACTCAGAATGATGTTCTCCAATTCCATCCATTTACCAGCGAATGATAACATTTCGTTCTTCTTCATGGCTGCATAAAATTCCATTGTGTATAGATACCACATTTTCTTAATCCATTCGTCAGTGGTGGGGCATCTTGGCTGTTTCCATAACTTGGCTATTGTGAATAGTGCCGCAATAAACATGGATGTGCAGGTGCCTCTGGAGTAACAGTATTTTGGGTATATCCCCAAGAGTGGTATTGCTGGATCAAATGGTAGATCGATGTCCAGCTTTTTAAGTAGCCTCCAAATTTTTTTCCAGAGTGGTTGTACTAGTCTACATTCCCACCAACAGTGTAAGAGGGTTCCTTTTTCCCCGCATCCTCGCCAACACCTGTTGTTGGTGGTGTTGCTGATGATGGCTATTCTAACAGGGGTGAGGTGGAATCTTAGTGTGGTTTTATTGCTCTGACATCTTAAATAATTCCTGTGACATTCAGATCAAGGCCAGTTCCCTCAGCACACCATGTCAGCCCTTTGGAACTTGTCCCGCCTGCTTATGCACTTGTTATTGTCCCTCTACCCCATGGGAAGCCAGTGGCACGGAGTTTCTTAGTGTTATTATTTCACTTCTGCATCTCTGCTCAGGTGCGCCAGCCTGGACTGCCCTTCTTGTCACTTCCTTCTTGAGGCCCTGCTTCTGGTCCACCTCCCTAGCTGTGTCACCAAGCACCCAACAAGGCCAGCTAAGTGACATTTAGCTTCTGGAACTGTTTTCCCATCTGCAGATTGTCACAATGAAACCCATGGATCATATCACAGAGAAGTCAGAGGCAGTAAATGCTGTCATGGGCCATAGGGTCAAAACAGGTAACTCTCCCCTCTGAAGACCGGGAACACCAGTCTTGGACGGTACAAAGAACACGTTCCAGAGTGAAGACTCACCCGCCGAATGCATTTGTGCAACATTTTGACATTCCAGGTTGCTAAATGTAAACAACAACTTCAATTGTAAATACAAAGGGATGTTTTGGGGTCCCCAAGAAATGCAAAAACAGGTAGAATTCACACATTTTTGTGAAATTCACATCTCCTGCTTGAAATTCTGAAATTATCAGGGATGACAAAAACACACAGGGAAAAATAACACAGAATCATTAACCTTTCGTAAGATTCAAAAGACTTTCTCTGCTGTCTATTTGCATAAATCAAGCTGTGAATCTGTCCCTGTCTATTTTTGGACAGGGGCGGTGGTGGGGATCAAACTCAGGACCTTGAGCATGCTAAGCACAGGCTCTACCACTGAGCCTCAGCCAGCTGTCTTCTCTCATAGTTTATTCTGCATTATATCTGAAGGAAGATTTCTTCAGTGGCCAGCAAGAAGTTGGGTAACGAGCATTACATCACTTACGAACAAGTTCAAAATCCACAGTCCTTAACTCACTATCCCTGCCATAAAATTCATCCCTATAGAAAAGCAAATAGCTGCAATGGGGCTGTGGCCACCTCTTTTTTTGTTTGTTTGTTTTTTAATCCCTGTCATATTCTAGTACTGCAATGGCAAATGACACCCTCCTTTCATTACCTCCAGGTAATGTCAGAATGTCTCCAGGTAACGACAGAATGTTGAGGACCTTATCATTTTACTTCTCAGTTGCTTTTAAAGAATAATTGAGACTTACTTAGAGGAACTGGTCTTGCCATTAAGGAGCTACAGAAGATAAAATCTCTACATGGAGTGAGGCAATCCTGGCTTGAACTCTGGCCGGAGGGATGGGCTCCCTTACAGATCACTGGCCCTCCTTGCTTCCAAGGAGAGCTGATAAAAGCATTTCCCTTCGAACTAGTCCCCCAGGATGCACAGGCACACTCCCGACCTGCTCACCCTGACTTTCACATTCGGAATGTGTATTTGTCACAAAAGCATCCGGATAAACAGTTACAGGCATCGACTTTTACTTCTGTGTATCTTTACATCCTTCTGTGTAACTCACCCTCACTTACTGCATTGTAAGAATCTCCTAGGCTCATTACCACATATGCATAATAATGCCACTCTACAGAAATCTGTCTCATTCTCCCTTTGCTAAGTGAAGTTTGAGTGGACTTAAGCGAGTGATGGAAAACGCTGGAAATCTTTCCAAAGGAGCCGCACTGATGCTGCCCGCAGCCAGCCAGCCACCAATTCTAATTCGCTACCTGTCAGAGTCTGTAGGTTTCTTACGTATCATATTTAATAGAAATCTTTGGTTCAGTTTGTTGGGTGAGGATCTAAAATAACATTCAGAATAAGCAAACAAAAGAGCTAAAAAGCCCTCTGTACCTTCACCTAGTACCAAGGGTTCACTGAAATAGATTAATCATTGCCGCCTGCATAATAACTAACTTGCTGATGATCAGGGGAGAAAATGTCCAGGAAACACATGGAAAACAGACAGCCGGGGCAGAGGGCAGTCATGGTAAAGAATCTGGACTAAGTAATTCAATAAGTCAAGTTCAACCTATTAACAATGGTTTGCATGTCACCTACGTTTAACTAGAGACATCTCGATCTTTCCTAACAATGCTGAAGGCATTAAACTTCAAATTTTGTAATCAAAAGAACTGATTAACATGTGAAAAAGAGTGACAAGCCCAATGTGGTACAACAGAGTAGCTGTGAGCCCTGTGCCTTTATCTTTAAAGATTCAAGAGGCACCGTTACCAACCATTTCCACGGAAAATGTCCTCTGGGCCTTCTTTGCACAAGGTCCCCACTATAGGATGGGGGCTTAATTATTCCAGTTCAAGCCCAACACTTCTTTTTAATCTTCCAGAAGTTCATAGCTATTGTTTTTCAGCGTAATCTCACCCTTGGGAATGATGATGTCAAAATAATGAAAGAAAAGCTGCATATGTGAACACACTTCGTGTCTGTTACAATCAAATCTGAGTAAGCTGAGAAGCCTGTCATGAGAATCAAAAGTCAACTGAAATGAAATTTGTACCTATCATTCAGAGACCTCAATCCTGTTTGGGCGGAATGTGTAGCCCTGGAGACAATGGTGGGCCATTTAGTAGCCAGGTGACAAAGAAGCAGCCAAATAATGGCCTTGCCAGGTATAAAACTGAATGATGGCATTCCAGAACAAGGAAGGCCCACAGGCGTTTAGCAGAAAAACCTCAGATACACAATAGGCAAACTTTGAGAGGCTGAGCATTCGCTTTTGGAGTTAAACTGATGGCTCCTTTGGGATGAGCAACCATGTTTTATGACGTCCACAGCACACATGCAAGTATCCATCCGAGCTAAGGGCTGTGCTTAGCACAGGAGACCAAAGATAGGCATTCTTAGCCTTGAAGGAGTCCACAGGCCAGGGCACTGGGTAGGAGGGGTGGGGATCAGGCAGGAAAGAGCCACAAAAGGCAAAGGAACATTTATTGAGCACACCCACTTGGTCAGATCCTCAAAGACAGTCACATGTGTTTTCCTTTAATTTTCCCAGTACCAGGACAGGGCTGGTATTATGGGTCCCATTCACACAGGAGAAAAAGGTAGTTCAGAGAGGCAAGAAACTTGCCCAACTGGTAAAAAAGAGGCAGACGTCAGCAAATG